CCCCCATAGGAGAGGTAGTAGAGAGTAGGGTTCATGTGCTCCAAGGACCAGGCTGGGTGCTGGCAGGGGTTATAATAGGAGCCCAGAGTGTAGAACTGAGCAGCCAAATCCAGGTATCTTGCCTGATCCACTGCCAATGGTGCCAGGGGCTGGCTACTAAAGTTGTGCATCTGGATGGGGGCCAACACCATCGAGCCAGGCATGTAGGTATAGGCAAAGAATTGGGGTTGGGCACCTTGGGAAGGCAAATAACCAAAAGAATACATTGTCCAAGGCCCTCACACTGCTGCTACTTCCACCACATTGCTTGAAAACGGTGTCTCTTCTGGAGCTAGGAGCAGGAGAGAGGTTCAAGAAAAAATAGGGACCAACCATGGAAGTGATTGTTGAAAACTAAAAATAAATTAATAAAAACATAAAAAACAAAACAAAAGTAAAACAACAACACACACAAAAAAATTAGGGACCAAATCACAACGATGCCCTGTCCCCCTAGGGCGATCAGTATCAATACCAGAATTCCCAGGCAGCTCAGACTTCTGCTGCCTTTTCTCCAAGGAGCCAATAAGGCAGTCCTTCCCACCTCTACCCCACCCCCAAGGCACATACCTCATCATCTTTAGCGGGACCACCCTACTCTCCAATCCAGTAATTCAACCCCACAGGCCCACTCACAGAAATAGAGAATTTTTTTTACATAGGGTAGAGGTATGGAAATCTCTTCCTTCTTTTCCTTGAGGGAGAAAAAGAACATTTGTCCTGTTCCTACTATCCCACCCCTACCCTCACATCCCCTTGCACTCACCAGTTTTTGTGGGTCTAGCTGAGGTTTCAGTGTGTGGGAGGGGAACAGTCTTTGATATTGGGATCAGAATTGGTCCCTTTTCTCCTTCCCATGAGGGTCTCTTTTGCCTGTTACCTCTTCAAGGTCAAGCCAGGCTTAGTTCCTCCCACTTTGCCTGTTACTAGGCGAAGGGAAACAGTCCAGAGCCTAGGTGTATGTCTGTAAACACAGACATGTATATACATACACCTATGACTGGCTGGGGCCCAGGTTTGGGTTGATGTCCTAACCTTCCCTCATCCCTTAGGAATTACTTCTCTAATCCTTTAATATGACATCTCTCCCCTTATAACCCACCCACTAGAGTAGGGGTTAGCCTTTTTTGGGGTCATAGATCCTTTGGAAGTCTATTTCTGACTCTTTTCTCAGAATATTTTCAAAGGCATAAAATAAAATATACAAGATTACAAAGGAAACCAATTATGCTGAAATGTAGTTATCAAAATATTTTTACAAGCAAATTCATTGACCCCCTGAACTCTATCTAAGGACACAGAACTAGCGTCATCTTTTATCATCCTTTCCACACCCAACCCTGTGCCCCGGTCCTTTGGAAGTTGGAATATCACCAGTCTCAGATGACTTTTTTTTCCTACCTATTGGCGTCCTACTCAGAGTTGTGCTGGTAAAAAAAAAAAAAAAGGCTAAAAGAAAAAAAAAGGTATGCAGGACAAGCTTCTCAAGCTTAATTTGCATCATCAGCATTTTTCTCTAACACTTTTTTAAGTGTAGACAATCAACCAAATAATATATCAAGCCCTGACTTATAGTACTTACCCATCTCCAAGGTAAAAGTTCTCTCCATGAAAATTTAACAACCAGCTCCCATGAAGCTCTCATGAACGCCCCTGTTCTACCCACCCTTCGAGGCCCTATCTCTGCCAGGAAGCTTTGCTTATGCCTACACTTATCTCTACCTACTTTGTTCCTACAGTTCCTGCTGTCTATATCTCTCATTGGCCCCTTATCATATAAGGCCTTGAATTGCTTTATTTCCCTCACAAAACTTCCCTCCTTCAGACCCATCCTGCCCTGCCAAGTCGTGTCAATCTTGCCTCTTCAATGTCTCCTGCCTCTATCCCCTCCTTTTTACTTGTGTTACCACAATTCTAGTTCAGATGAGGCCCTCATCTCCTGCTGGGACTATTATATCAGTCTCCTAAGTGGCAAGATTTCATAATTGATTGACTTTGGGCTGCTCACCTCCATTACCTCCTCTGTAAAATGAGAGGGTTCCACTAAGTGTCTTCAAAGGTCTCTTCCAACTCTAATTAGAGTTGGAAGTATAGTAACCTATACTTCTTCAGTATTATGGTGGCAACAACTTAGCAACATTTCAGGTCATCTTGACTTATGTCTTGCCATTGGACTCTGATGACTTTGGAGGAGAGAATGAGGTCAATGACTTTCCACAGCTCTGCTTCACTTAAATTCAATTCACTTGCAAGTCAAGACATCACCCTGCTGAGATCATTGGTCCTCTTCAAGAATGAAGGACAAAGGGGCAGATAGGTAGCATGGTGGATAGAGGACAGGCGCTGGAATCAGGAGGTCCTGAGTTCAAATTTGGCCTCAGACCAAACACTTGACCCTTACTAGCTGTGTGACCCTGGGCAAGTCACTTAACCCCAATTGCCTAAAAAAAAAAAAATGAAGGATGAACAGCAACCAGAGCAACAGCTTAGCATCAAGTTAACAAGAATAATTAGTTAAAATAAGAAACTACCAAATAATGGGCTAAGGGGAAGCTGCTTTCCCCTAATCAACCAAAGACATCTATTTTGTCACTTGCTCTGGGTTCAGGTTATGGTATTTGCTCCAGGAGAAAAAAATTCCCAGTTAAAGCTCTGATTTCAAGGAAACATAGTATGGTGTACAGACATTGGATTGGGAACCAAGAGCCCTGGATTTTAGCCCTCCCTTTGTCACTAATCAACTTGAGTAAACTGGGTCCTCTGTTGTGTTGCATTTCATTAGCTTGAATTTGTTTTTGTTTTTAATTTTTATTGATATCTTTTGCTTTTAAATCTCCTTCATTTCTTTTACTTTTTGTTTGTTTGTGGTAAGGCAATTGGGGTTAAATGACTTGCCTATGATCACACAGCTAGAAAATGTCAAGTGTCTGACGCTAGATTTGAACTTAGGTCTTCCTGACTCCAGGCACAGTGCTCCATCCACTGCTCTACCTAGGTGCCCCTAAATCACCTCATTTCTGAATACATCCCTCTCCCTCTCCTCCCCAGCATGCTATTCCAACAAAAAAAATTTTAAAAAAAGAGAGAAAAAAAGGTAGTAATTTAGCAAAATTAATACATACACCCCAAGTAAGCCTGGACAGTATAAGCAATGTTCCACACACATAGTTTTCAACCTCTGCAAAGAAGGGAGGTAGGTGCATTTTTCCTCATCTCTTCTCCAAGGTCAATCATGGTCATTATAATAATCAAGCATTCTGGGGTTTCTTTGGTGGTTCTTTCCATTTGCATTGTTTATACTATGTCTCCTGTTCTGCTTACTTTATTTTGCAAAATATCATTTAAGTTTTTCCATGTCTTTTTTAAAAACAAATTATTGTTAGCTTTTGTTTCACATTACCTCTATTTCCCCATGAATCCCTCTTCCTCACCTTTCCTAGAGAGCCATCCTATATAACAAATACATTTTTTTAAAGAAAAAGAGGAAGAGTAAAAAGAAATCAACAGAACCAATTAATTCTCTAAAATAATCTGACAATATATTTAATTTTCCACACCAAAGGGCCCCTCAAAGAAATGTGTGTGTGGGAAAGCATCTTCTCATATCTCTTCTTTGGCACCAATCATGTTCATCGTACTTTTTAAAAAATAATTAATTAATTAATTTTTAGTTTTCAACATTCATTTCCATAAGTTTTGAGTTTTAATTTTTCTTCCCCTCCTACTCTTCCCCTCCCCCCAAGACAGTGGCGTGCAATCTGATGTAGGCTGTACTTATATGTTCATATTAAGCATATTTTCCCATTAGTCAAGATGTAAAGAACAATTAGAACTAATTGCTCTCCTTTTCCTTTGTTGTTTGGTTTTATTGCTTCATTCTCGCAGGTCCTCCCACTGTACTTTCGTAATATTCATTTTTAACTGTGTCATGCTTGTTCCTTTCATTTATATAGATGTGGTCAGAGTGTACATTGTTTTCTCTGCTTTGTTTACTTCACTTGGCATTGTTTTCTCATGATTCTCTGCATTCATCATATTGCCATTTCTTTTTGTTATTATTGTTCATCTGTGTCTGACTCTGTGACCCCTTTGGGGGTTTTCTTGGCAAAGAAACACTGGAGCAGTTTGCCATTTCCTTCTCCAGATCACTTTACAGATGAGGAAACTGAGGCAAACAGAGTTAAGCGACTTGCCCAGGGTCACACAGCTAGGAAGTGTCTGAAGCCAGATTTGAAGTCCGGACGATAAGTCTTCTCGGAGTCACCAGGCCAGGCACTCTATCCACTATACCACTTAATAATTTGTAATTTCTTACAGCACAGTAATATTTCACTTCATGCACATACCACACTTCACTTTAGCCACTGATGGACATCACTTTGTTCAGTTTTTTGCTCCCACAAAAATCACTGCTACAAATACTTTGGCGTATGTAGGTCCTCTCTTTATGTCTTCCACTTCCTTAGGGCGTATGCCTAGCAGCGAGATCTCTGGATCAAAGGGCATGGGCATTTGTGTCACTTTTTTTTTGTTGTTCTTAGCCTAATTCCAAATTGTTTCCCTGAATGGCTGGACCAATTTACGGCTCCATCAACAAGGAATTATTGTGGCTATCTTGCCCAAGACCCTCCAACAGTGGCCGGGAGCTCTTGTAATTTACTCATGTGCACTAGGAGAGGGTGGGTGCCTTAGCCCTAAGAGTCTGGGATAGGATCTGGGGGTCCCCCGGTTTTCCTGCAGCAGCTGTAGCCTCAGGGAGAAGCGCTGCCCGTAGAAATGCACACCCCCTTCACATCCCAGGCCACCTAAGGCAGGTGCCCATAAAAAAGATGGTGGCAGCAGTGACAACCGACCAGTCACCTGCCCCAACCTGCGACTCGAGGGGGGCGGCCCGAGATGGCGCTGAGCCAATGGCTGAGCCAAGGGTGGGCGGGGCTTGCGGTTGTGGGGGGAGTGGAGCGGGGGGAGTCTGCGCGCAGGCGCTCTGCCCCCGCAGCTTCTGCCTGCCTCCGGGCCATCTGATGCGAGATCGTATCGCCGAGGTGAGCTGGGCCGCTGGTGGAGGGCATGCTGGGGGGGGGGGGGGGGCCCGCACGGGAGCGCGGGGAACGAGGCACGGAGTGGGGGAGGGGGTCCCCTGGCGGTCGGCGGTGCATGGGCTGCGAGGGGCATCGGGTTGGAGACAGGACTCGTCTCCTGTTCTGGGGGATGCACCCCCCCAATGGGGTGTAGTGTGAAGCCAGAGGGGCGACCCTTAACCTCTCTGATCCTCTGGCTCTTCATTCGTAAAGTGAGGATGATAACACTCTCATTGCTCATCGTCACAGGGTTTTTCCAACTCACCACTGCCTCATTTGAAATTAAGACTAATTTTAGGAAGTAATTAGGGAGAAGAGGTTTACCCTCAAGTAAGGAAGGCAAAGAGAGCGCTTTGCCAAGGGCTCAAGTGAACGGGAATTGTTATTCACCAAACAGGTGTGAGCCTCTATGGGCAAGTGTGTCTAGGGTTAGAGGGGTCGGGGGAAGATGGCAGGAGGGTGGTAGTCCTAGAAACCCACCTGATGCCACTTCAGTTGCTGCCTTAGAGGGGCAAGGAGGGAATTAGGAGGAATATTCCCTTCTTCTCCCTGAGCGCTCGCGCTCGTGCTCTCTCTCTTTCTCTTTTTTTCTGTCACTCTCTGTCTCTCTCCCTCTCTTCCCTGTATGTGGACCCTTGGTGCAAGTTTTCTACTCCTAGAGATATGACCAGGAAAACGCCTCCTCTCATCCATCCTCACGGATGGTGGGTGCTTTGCTTTGCTCAGCTGGGTAGGAGAAGGCGCACATAATGGAGACAGGCTGAGGGTCTTGGAGCTGGCTGGGGAAACCTGAAGCCAAGCACCAAATCCCAGGCTGGTGTGAGGTCTTAGCCAGTTTGTTGAGGTCTTCACTTCTTTGAGAATCTCAATTCAGTTCGTCAAGTGTTTATTAAATATCTATTATGCCCCAAGCACTCAAGGGGCCTTCGGACACTGCAAAACTGGCCCTGCCCTCAAAGATCTTATATTCTATTGGGGAGAAACAATTCATACATAAGAGAAGGAAGGGAATAAAGCAGTTATATAGGCCTACTATATACCACAACAACCCTCTGAGGTAGGTGCTGTTATTGTCCCCAGTTGGGGAAACTGAGGCAAACAGAGGTTAAGCAACTTCAGTCCAGGGTCACACAGCTAGTAAGTGCCTGAGGTTGAATTTGAACTCAGGTCTTGCTGACTCCAGGCTCCATCTACTGTACCACCTAGTTGCCTCATAAATAAACACAAAATATTCACAAAGCACATACAAAGTAATGGGGGGGAGGGATAATGAGGTATTAGATATGGGGCCCTTAGAGTAGGCTTCCTATAGAAAGTGTCACTTGAGCTGAGGCCTGGAAGGAAGCTGGGATTTTAGGAGGCAGAGACACAGGTATGGGAAGACAGCCTATGGAAAGACCAGAGATGGAATATTGGATCTTGGAGAAGTGCTCAGGAAAGAGGGGAGAGAACGGGGTTTTTCCACTGCACTAAGCTGTTCTTTAAACAAAGCAAACCCTAAGACATCTTCCTCTCCCCAGCTGTCTCTTGAAGTATTTCCTGCTTCCTTGTAATCATTCTTATTCTGAGGTGGAGCCTGGGTGTCTGCCAGGCCTTTAAGGAGATCCTTTGTTACCAGAGTTGATAGGAATGTTTAAGTGAATAATTCTGCCCACTTTTTCCCTTTTCCCTCTTGGGTTACCTGAAAGGTGAGAGATTAGAGTGGGGCTACTTTAGTTTAAACAAAACAACCCAAAGCCTTGTGTCTTTTTTACTTGCAGCTACTGTTCTCCATTCTTTCCTAAATTTAGTTTAAATCTCAAAGGAGGCTGTGGTGTATTGGAAAGAACTCTGGATTTGGAGCCTGAAGAACTGAATTTGAATCCTGACTTTGTCCCTAACTCCCAGTGGGAACTTCGTAATCTCTCAGAAAAATGAGGGGTCGGAGTAGGTGACTGGTAAGGTCGCTTTCAGCTCAGGTTCTGTTATCTTCTGACACTTGGCTGGTCAAAAAATTAGAAGAGAATAAGATCAGATAACTCACACCTATGGCTATGGGGGAAGGGTTCTCAATCAAACGAGGTCAGGGCAACACCAGCACAGAGAAACGTAAACAGAATGACTACAAGGTAATTAGGCAAGTCTTTCTGGGGTGATGCTTGTGATGGGGTCTAGAGGTTAGGGGTCCTAGCACCCCAAAATCACGATACCCGGGTCCTGCCCAAAAGAATTTGACTCAAGCCTTCCCGTAGCCAAAAACAAAGTTTATTGAAGATTCGCCATATTAGCTAGACTCTTAAGGAATCTGAGCATCTATGGGCTGTTGGCTAGATTGTAAAAATCTGAGCATCTTAATGGAGACAAGATGGACCTTATATACAGAAAGATCGTGGAAGAGTGGCCAAGTAGTCCATGAGGTAATAGAATTTCCAAGGGTGGGAAATGGAGCCTAGGTGGGACCAAGGGTGGGAAATGTTCTGGGGCCAGAGTTTTTCCTTTCTGGGGTTCAGATTCCAACCCCATCACTTGAGCTGTGTCTTGGAGAAAGTGAGCTGGAGTTGAGGCAGGAAATGTGTGGGAGTTGGAGTGCTACCTGAGAGGAACAGTGAAGTCCACTTTGTCTACTCTAGACCATAAAGTTTGGGAAGGGAAGTAATATATAATGAATCCAGAAAGGGAGGGCCACGTTGTGAAGGTTCTTAGCAGTCAAATTTGTTGTTCAGTTATATCCGACTCTTCATGACCCCATTTGGGGTTTTCTTGTCTTGCCCCGGGTCATACTGCTAGTAAGTGTCTGAGACTGGATTTGAACTCAAGAAGATGAATCTTCTTGACTCCAGGCCTGGTACTCCACTTTGCTACCTATCTACCCTAGGAGTCAAATAGAGTTTATATTTTATCTAGAGGTAATGGGAAGGCCCTAGAATTTTTTTTTGGAGAGGACTACTAGAATTTGAATAGCAGAGTGACAGTGGTCAGATTTATGTGTAAGGGAATCACTTTGGCAGCTTTTTTGGAAGGTGAATCGGAATGAGGAAAGATGAGGCTGTGAGACAGACGAATTAGGCTACTAGGCTATTAGTCTTGGCAAAAGGTGATGAGGGTCTGAACTAAGATGGCAGCCATGTAAGTAGAGTAAAAAGATTAGATGGTAGAGATGTGGAGGTAAAAATGATAAGATTTGGTGTGTGATGGGATTTGTGGGGTGGGAGGAAGTGAAGGGTCGAGGATAATTACAAGGTTCTGAAGCTGGGAGACTGGAAGACTAATGCTTGCTGAATTAAAAAAAGAGAGTCCCTGCTTATTGTCAAGAAATTTATAATCCAATAGGAATGGGTAATGTCTAAGGCCATACTGGCACTGGTTGGACACTGGTCTCCGGTGCGAAGCTGGCTTACAGTGGTTTGCCCTGAGTAATTCTGTTCTTCCTCAGGGGGCAAGAATGGTCTGGCCTGGGAAAGGGAGTAAGGAGGCAGGTGCACAGGCATCCCTGATCCACTGAGGCCTGAGGCCGTGGGCCATGGCAGCTCAGCCCCTGGCCCGGCTCTCCAGCCTACCCACCGCTGTGGTCTATGGCTCCTTGTCACTCTTTGTCTCCATTCTACACAATGTGTTCCTGCTGTACTACGTGGACACGTTTGTCTCTGTGTACAAGATTGACAAGCTGGCCTTCTGGGTGGGAGAGGTAGGTGTTCCCCAGGTTCCGTGGCAAGCTGGGTCTATGGTGAGGGACTGGAATTCAGGTCCTCTGACTTCAGAGCTGGTGCCCCTTCCACTGGGTCATGTGGCTTCCCATCAGTAATCTCTCAGGCTCGAGAGCTGTTCCCCAATCAGGAGGATTATACCAGACAACCCCTTGTAGAATCCTAGGAACTTATAGCTGGGAAGAGACCTTAACTTTGAGGAGTGAGGGAAACTTGCCTCCAGACCGACCCTGGAGTGCCCTGGGGTGCTTATCTCCTTGGCTGGCCTCTTTCTTCCCCAAGCCTGCAGTGGCTAGCCAGCCCATGCTGGGTGACGGGGCTTCTTCCCAGCCCTGAATCTTCCCATTGACCCTGAGCCATCTGTGTTAGGACTTTGCCATCAGTATGATGGTTCTTTCTCACCCCTCTTTGCAGACGGTGTTTCTTCTCTGGAATAGCCTCAATGATCCACTCTTCGGCTGGCTCAGTGACCGTGGCTTCCTTAGCTCCACGCCTAGGTATATCGCTAAGGGACGAATGGCTTTCAGAGCTTGAAGTGGCCTTATTGATGAAATAGTCCAAATTTTTCATTTTGCAGATGGGGAAACTGAGGCCTGGAGACAGGAAATAAAGGGACTTACCCAAGGTCACACAATCAGTTAGTGGCAGAACCTAATTTCTATGGCTCCCCATCCAGGGCTTTCTCCACTATTTTGTGTTACCTTTGTTTTCATTACCTTGCGGGATCACTGTCTTGCCCAGGGCCCAGGGTCCCCTCCGTGTACTTGGAGCCAGAGGTGGGCCCCTTAATCTTCTGAGTCCTGTCTCTTCCTCCTGTTACCAGTATGAATCTGGGGGAGGAAGGAAGAAGGCAAAAGTGGGCCCTTTCTAACTGGTCACTTCCTCTGGTCCCCAAACTAGATGCTTCCTCCTTGTATCCTTCCCTCATCACTTTCTTCAGGAGCAGGGGTATAGAGTAAGGGATGGGACTCTTGATTCTCCAGGCGGGAAAGCCTGGAAGGATCTGAGAACGCCGGATATGGGCCCCTGGTCCTAGCTTGTGACCCCCTGATTCCCGGCATAGGGGATGGCTCATCGGGCTGGGGTCTTGCCCGAGTCCCTGAGCCGATCTGAATGTGTATTCCTTCTGTAAATGAAGGTTCTGTAAATTGTTTCCCGATTTACATGAGGGTAGAGTGGAGGAGACGTGGGCGTGCTTGAGTAGGGAGGGAGGTATCCTGATGCCTTCTTTCTGTCCTTCCACAGGGCAGGGGCTTCAATCCCATCGCAGGATGTGGTTCTGACGAGGCTCCGGGCTCTCAGCCGGCATGGCCCGCTGCTGGCTCTCGCTTTCCTGGCATTCTGGGTGCGATGGGCACCCACGGGGATGCAGTTCTTGCTCTGCTTGTGTCTGTACGATGGCTTCCTGACCCTGGTAGACCTCAATCACCACGCCTTGCTGGCTGACCTGGCCTTGTCTGCCCGTGGCCGAACACACCTCAATTTCTACTGCTCTCTCTTCAGTGCAGCTGGCTCCTTCTCCGTCTTCGCCTCCTACACTGTATGGAACAAGGAAGATTTTTCTTCCTTCCGTGTCTTCTGTGTGGTTCTGGCTGTCTGCTCCGGGCTTGGCTTTACTGGAGCCACGTGGCTACTGAGGCAGCAGTTTGAGACAGAAGGGAGGATGCTAGGGGCCCTGCATTCAGCCTCAGAAGGGTAAGTGGGTCATTGTATCCCTGGTCCCCATTTGATTCGGTACATGCCTACTCTGTTCTGGGAATACAGAAACAAATGTGACCTTGAGGAGTTTAGGTGCAATTGGGGAGGGACCTTGTGGACACAGGTAAGAGTCATATAAGGTAAACTGAGATAGAAGACGGTGTTACAGCCAGGGCAGTAAGTGACAGAAGGCTTCAGGGAAGAGGCATCTAAGCAGAGCTTCAAGTCAAGGGTGGGGCTGAGGGGTAAGAGCATTTCCGAAATGGGCAGTAGCCGGTCTCTGAGGTTCCTGGGTCGGTGGCCTGAATTCTTTCTTTTCTCCAATTGCATTATTTCATTATTTATTTTTATTTTTCTCAGTATGTTTTATTGTTAAAGACACATTTCCAAACCTATCCCTCCCCACCCCTCATATTCATTGAGCCATCTCCTGTAATACAGAATTAGAAAGAAAAAGGTGGGAGGAAAGTCATTTGATAAAATCAGCCAGCACCTCAACTGTCTGATAGACTCGGAGCTCCCCACCTCAGTAATGAAGGGAACGAGATGCATCTGTTCAGATCTTCTCTGGGCCAAACGTGGTCATGACGCACAGCATTCAGTTTTATTGTGTCCAGATTGTCATAGAGTATGGTTTACTGTTTCTTCTTCATGCACCAGTTGATAAAAGTCTTCCTCTGCTACTTAATTCATGTGTGTCATTTTGATGGCATAGTAACATTCCCTTCTATTAATGTAGCGACATTTGTTTAGCCATCCCTTACTTGACAGCTTTTGTTGTTTGGTTGTTTCAGTCGTGTCTGACTCTTCGTGACCCCATTTAGGGTTTGCTTGGCAAAGATACTGGAGTGGTTTGCCATTTCCTTCTCTAGCTTGTTTTACAGATGAGGAAACTGAGGCAAACAGAGTTAAATGACTTGCCCAGGGTCACACAGCTACTATGTGTCTGAGGTCACATTTGAACTCAGAAACTCTATGCACAACATCACCTCGCTGCCCCAATTGTCTATCCACTGCATATCCAATTCTTGGCTGTCACAAAAAGTCCTGCTGTTGCAAAAATTGTGCATATATTTTTCTATATATGGGGCCATTCTTTCTGTCTTTGATTTCTCTTTTGGGGGGGTGTGGGTGGGTGGGGATATATCCCTAGCATTGGAATCTTTGAGTCAAAGGGTATGAGACTTTAGTCACTTTTTTTAGCATAATTCCCAAATGCTTTCCAACCCACAGCAGTTCCAACAGTGAATTAGTATGCCCCTTGAACACGGATTATTTCCATCTTTTGTCATCTTTGCCAGTCTGCTGGGTATGAGGTGAAATCTCAGTTGTTTTGATTTGCATTTCTCTTATTTAGTGATTTGGAGCACTCTTTCATATGGTTAAGAACCTGCCATTCTTTCAAGAACTGTTCATCCATATCCTTTGACCACTCATCACAGTGGCCTGACTTCTAATTCTCTATCCATGACTGGCCTGGTGACAGGTTATTCAGAAGGGAAGAGAGAGGAGAGGAGAGGGCAGGGCAGGGCAGGGCAGGACAGGGAAAGGAAAGGAGGGAGGGAGGAAGGCAGGCAGGTTAGGGGGAGAGTGGGAGGGAGAAAGGGAGAGAGAGCTGGAGTGCTGTGGGGTCAGAAGGCATGGGAGGAGAGCTGCAGCTCCCTGCTCTGTCTCTCTAGCCCAGATGTGGAGAAACCATCAGCAGATGAGGGGGAAAAAAGAGTCACCCTGGGCGAGTACCTCCAGCAGCTGGCCCGCCACCGAAACTTCCTCTGGTTCGTAGGCATGAACTTGGTGCAGGTATGGACAGCCTTCTTGTCCTTATCACTGTGTTCCTGTCCTGGTGTGAGTACTGTGTCCTGGGGTGACAGTTGGGCTGTAGAGCCTGAGAAGGGGGTGGACATGTGGCTTCCCTGGTGGGGAGAACCCCAAAGAGTAAGACTGATGTGGGTATAAGAGGAAGCCTGGGATGGTAGGAGGAGGATTGGATTTGTGGGTAGAAGACCTGGATTCAAATCCTGGTACCTCGACTTAGCCACATTCCCTGTACTGCCGTTTATCATCTTTGGGCTTCATGTGAAGTCTGAGGGATTTGGTCTCCATGATCTTTCAAATCTCTTCCAGCTCTGAGTCTTATTACATGGTTTATCCCATGATGTAGCCAGTAAAGAGCATTGGTGTGAGAGCCCACAGCCCTACTAACTTACACTGTAATCTTTGGGCAGGTTACTGTGCCGTGAGGCTTCAGTTTCCCCTTCTGTTAAAAGAGGAGATTAAACTAGGTTGGAATGGCCACACTGCTTTGTGGTCTGACAAAACCTTGACAGCTCAGGAATCTGTGCCAAAGACTCCAGTTAAGAAAACTGGGTTCTAGGTCAGGCCCCATGGGGGCCTGGAGACAAAGTGAAACCCAGCTCGCCCAGGACTACACCACGGCTTCTGCTCACGACTGTCCCTCCAGGTGCTGGGCTTTAGTTTATCTCATGCATCCCCAGGCCCACCAGTTTCTTAGCTCATGACAGTGCAAACTGAGAGGTCACATCTGAAAACACTGGTATTTTATGTTGTTCCATTGAGATTCGAGTCCTTTAATAAAAACTGGCCAGCTTCAATAAAAACCATGTGACTTTTTTTTTCATTCCTGTGGCTGCTCAGCACAATTAGTCAGTAGAAGAAGGTAGGGCAGCTCCTGTTCAGTTTCCAGCATTTCCCATCTATTTTGGGAAAGTTTAATGCAAATCTAAACCTTCTCCTCAGGGGTGATAGTAAGGTAGTTGACCAAGGCTTTTTTGCTCTTTAATTGGCCCATTTGACAGCAGGGTGGTCTGTCCTCTCAAAGCTGTGTCCGCTCCCCATGATGACTGCCTGTAAGGGGCTCCCTCTGGTGGGCCCGCCTGCCCCTCTCCCAGATCTCTCCCACCTGCTCTGCTCCTCACGGTGGCTGTTGGATTCCAGGTCTTCCACTGCCATTTCAACAGTAACTTCTTCCCTCTCTTCCTGGAGCACCTGCTGTCAGACCAGATCTCTCTCTCCATGGGCTCCTTCCTGCTGGGTGAGTAGGGGGGGATCTGGATATATATGGTGGGGATGCGGGGTGCTTCCAGGCTGTTAACACAAGTTAACTCTCCCAGACAAGATGTCTTATTCCTAGGATTCAGCCCCTGCAAACCCAGGGCAGCAAGGGCCTCCTCGAGTGAGAATGGTCAGAGTCTCATCTCTTGGAGGACCTTAGTAGCAGAGCCTGCCCCTGGATCTGATCCTCCCTAACTCTTGACTTCACTTCTCAGTGGGGACGAGATCTGGATGAAAGGCAGCAAAGGGGTTAGTGAGCTGAGATGTTAGGGACTTGGCTCTCAGGGTTTGTTCAGGTAAGATTGAGTAGAGGCCTGGGAGGAGTTATCCTGAGGCCCTGCCTTTCCTCTTCGTGATTTGAGGCAAGTGGGAACTGCAAGGCTGGGTGTGGAGGGTGGAGTTCCAGGCTTCTTTGGTCTTGCCACTGAGGGCTGCTCCTGGGGTCCATTGTAGTCAAGGCTGGTCATCAGTGTCCAAGGAGGCATTATTGCCCTAGGCTGAGGGAGGAGTGTGGGAAGTACCAGGGCATCTGCCCCAGGCCAGCCTAAGCTGGGAGGATTTCTCCAGAAGCCTCTTTAGGGCCTTCCTGAGCAAAGGGGGCAGAGGCTGGCTCATCTTAACTCATGGAGGCTTTTCACTAGGGGTGTCCTACATCGCTCCTCACCTCAACAACCTCTACTTGCTGGCACTGTGCCAAAGGTGGGGTGTTTACTCAGTGGTTCGAGGGCTCTTCCTTCTTAAGCTGGGCCTCAGTCTACTTATGTTGCTGGCGGGACCAGATCACCTCCACCTTCTTTGCATCTTCATTGCCAGGTACACAGGGACCCCTCTAGTCCTAGCCTTCCTGACCCATCCTTGACCGTACCTCTGAATGGTCCCCCCTGACCTTTTATTCCTGTGCTAATCTTAGCCCTGATAAACTCTCCACATTGGCTTCATTCACCTCCCTGCCCTGCCCCACTCCTAGCCCATGACCACTTGTTTATTCCTTTTCTTCTAATGATGCCATGGTTTCTACCCATCTGCAGCAACCGTGTGTTCACGGAGGGTACCTGTAAGCTGCTGACCCTGGTGGTCACAGACCTGGTGGATGAGGACTTGGTGCTGAACCGCCGGAAGCAGGCTGCTTCAGCACTTCTCTTTGGGATGGTGGCCTTGGTGACCAAGCCTGGCCAGACCTTTGCCCCACTGCTAGGCACCTGGCTGCTTTGCTTCTATACTGGTGAGTGCCCTACCATTGGAGAACAGGGGTGGGTGCAGCTCCATCAGGTTTCCAGTGGCCTCTAGTCCCAACCAGCTATCCCTAGGTCATTAGACTCTAGATGGGGATGAATAGGGAATATTGTTGGCTTTATGGCATCTGCAGCTAGCCCTGCCCTGTCCCTCCTTAGATGCCAAGCAAAGACTGTTCAGGGGAGGATAAAGTTTGACTTGGTATTTCCTTTCTCGTTCCAGGTCATGACCTTTTCCAGCAGCCCTTGCTGGCCCCAGTGGGCAGTGCAAGGCCTTGGCTGGATCCCCCTGCCCCACCTCGGGCACCAACATTGCGTCAGGGATGCTTCTACTTGCTGGTGCTGGTTCCCATCATGTGTGCGCTGCTGCAGCTGATCACTTGGTCACAGTTCACCTTGCATGGGAGGCGCCTCCATATGGTTAAGGCCCAACGCCAAAGTCTGTCCAAACCCTGGGCTCTGGATATTAAGACTGTCTGAGGGGCCTCAGGGGAAGGCAGACTATGGTGCTGGTTGCCCAGCTACTCTTTTGCCTGAGCCAGGAGCTGGGAACTTCCTTACCCAGGCTCCCCCTCTGCCTTCGTTTCTCAGGTACAGCAGGAACATGACCGGGGAACGAAAACCCTAGTTTTTACCTTGGACCCAGATGCTGAGGTCACAATTCTCCATCCTTCCTCCCACCTCCTGGCAGTTAACTCAGGGTGAAGGCCATGAAGTGGATCTTTAGGATCTGGTCATCAGCTGCTTAAAGTGGCTGAAAAGAATCAGGAATTGGGTAGGACTGAGTGGGGGAGAGGTACATTGTCCTCCCCCAAGTCTGCACCCTTTGTCGTGTGCCCAACACACAGATATTAAATGGAGCACTTACTTTCTGCTTGCGCAGAATGGGCAGCTGGCAGGGCTGGGGGCAGGCCCCTTCAAAAGCTTGGCTTGGCCTTGACTGCCTGGGTAGAGGCTGCAGGAGGAGGAGCTATTCTCTGTAAGGATGGCCAGGTTGATGATGTCAGTGGGCCTACATGGCTGCCAGAGTTGGCCTGTGACTGAAGATCAAGGTGGTGGCACTTTGTGGGTGCCTTCCTTCCCCAAACTCTTTGTCATTTCAAATCCTCTCTACTTTGTGCTCCACTCATCCCAGGAATGGGTTCATTTTGCAGGGACTCATTAAAGCCAGTAAATCATTTTTGCTCCTTAGGCCTCTTCTGTCAGGGGCAGGGGTATATTGTGATTGGCTTCTGCATGGGGGCAGTTGGTCCATGGGGCTCAAAGCTGAGGGAATGGAGGGAAGTGTGGAACGCTAAATGCCAGCTACAGCAGAACCAAATGGAGGGCAGTGGAAAGAGCCCTGGATCTGACATTGGAAATCTTGGTACTTAGTATTTTCTCCTGTCTGGGCCTCTTTTCTTGGTTAGTAGCTGTCAAATGAATGAGGGGGTCAAGTAGATGAGCCCTAAAACAGATTCCAGCCCTAATCTCTGATGTTACTTGTCTCATGCAGCACCACTCGTGAATGGAAGCAGGCAGGAGCTGGTTTTCTGATCTCTAGTCAGGGGAGCAGTGGTTGTCTCATCTGATGTGACTTGTTGACTGTAGAGAGAATCAGGCACTAAGTATCTGTGGAACAACTTTATTTAAGTACACTGGGCACCACCAGGCAACGTGGTTAGGAGACAGGCTGTGCAGGGCAAAGGCTGGGGCTGAGAAGGAAGGTGGAAGGAAGCACACTGCAGTCTGGTTGCCACATTGCTTTCACACACACCTGGCCCCCCATTGGTTGGGGCCTTTGGTCACGGTGGAATCGGGGGAGAGGACACTGACTGGCATCTTCGGAATTTAGAAATGGGATAGGCAGGGGCCTGCTACACATCAAAGGAGGGCCACAAGATTATTCATAATGCCATAAGTATCAATGAAGGCAAACAGGCACCAAGGGGCTCCTAGATAATAGGCCACTGTTCAGGGAGGGGTGGCTCAAGCCAGATGCTTCAACTGAAACTGATCCAGAGCAGGATGTAAAACCATCTCACTGGACAAGGGATGGGGCGCTGTCTTTCCTTCTTTAGGCATTAGAAGAAAGCATCTGCTGCCTGGAACCCCTGCTTGAAGGCCTAGGTTTGAGTTAGGCAATGCCAACTCAACTTCCTAGTATTCAGATACCTCTTCCAGTGATTTCTTTCAGTTCTGGATGGTCAGCAGCAGGTTAGGGGCCCCGAATGCACCCCCCATCAGACTCCCTTCACCTCAACTTACAGCTCTGGCTTTCCTTCTTTCTTTGCTAGGCCTGGGACCCACAATGAAGCGGAGGGCACAATTCAAATTCAAAACCTAAGGCTGGCCAGGCCATTGGGTTCCCAAAGGCGGTCTGCCAACCCAGTCATCTCTGTGCACCCAAGAAAGCCAGAGACCAGTCTCCTTTGCACCTCTGCCCAAGAACCACCCCCAGGAGGGCTGCAGGGATAAGGCACCTTCACTTCCTTAACTTGAGACAAGCTACATAACCCCAGTGAAGGCACTGGCACCTGATGCACCAGAAAAGCCCACTTTGAAATCTGCCTGGTGATAGAGCTGTGAGCAGGAGGAAGGGATTAGTGTTGGCAGAGATGCCTTTGCTCAAAACCTTTAGTTGCAACTGGTCCCAGTGCCCATGTCTGCTACCTCAGTAGGATACTGTTAACAGTACTTAGTGGGACCTGGTGGGTGCCCTATCTCTCCAGGGGCTGGGCTACTACACTAAGCTTAGGTGCTGTAAACATTAGTGTATAGAGGGAGACTAAGAAAGGCAGGCATTAAGCAACTAGGGATCTACTCTTGCTGCCTCTTCCTCCTTGGCCCTCTTAGTGACTAGGAGGTTACCAAACCCTTTAATAATAAATAAAACCATATGGCAAACAGGATTTCACTTAAACTGCATTGAAGCAAAGATGGAGGAAAGCACATTTAATGTCCCTGCAGCTGCAGCTTCCCCAGCTTCCCTCCTCATCTGGCCCACCTGCCACAAGTGCAACTTGATCCAAAAGGCAGGTTAGCCCCCACCCTGGCTCCTTAAACTCTCCCCTCTTAGTTTTCTCCAAGGTTTTCCATGCAGAGGAAGAACAGCAGAAAGGATGTTGTGAGGGATGTGCTTAGGTGGCCTGGGCATCTGCACCTTATCCCAGCTGGTGAAGCCCCTATCCTCCACCAATTCCCTCCTGTGGTCCTGACCTTAGGTAAACCCAAAGATTCCTATCCTCTCACCTATTCCCCTAACCCAGGGATTTCTGAAACAGCTCCAAGTGTGCTTCTCCTTATTCCACAAACAAAAACAGCAAGAAAACCAAACAGTTCCTGCACAGGTCCCTATGATCAAGTGGCCAGCAAGTAATAGTGAGGAGCAAAGGGAAGGTGGTAGGCCTGAGCTCCAGCCACCTGGGAGGTGGTCGGGGAGATGGTGGCAGGGCCTTCCTCTCGGGTGGTTCAGTTTGCCCTCCTCCTCTCCCTACAGCAGTAAACGTAGTCCCAAAAAGAAAGGAAAAGGACCAATGGACAAAGAAATGGGGCACTCCAGCCAGGTGTTCTCCCCTCTCAGACGCAAGTTAGTGGTCAACCCCTGGGTCCTAGGCTCCATCGTGGGGGAAGGCACCGGGCTTCCCGGGCCACACTGGCACACGCACATACACACGCATACATACCCACACCCACATCCACACATACCCACATACAGGCAGCTCCTCACACACTCCAACTCAAGAAAGCGAGTTTTAAAGTGGAGTTAACTTCGAAGATAGGTGAAAGAGACGTCCGAACATTAAAAGGTTTTCCTATGGATGGATCGGGCGCCATCTTCTTCATATTCCTTTTTAGATACCCACATCTTCTTAAAGGTGTCCAGAGAGGCCAGAATGGAACCCCTGAGACAGAAGAAACCCAAAAAAGCAGCATGAGTGGCCTATGGAGCCCAAGCTATATCTAAGCTAGAACCAGGTTAAATTGTTCCTGAGCTCAATTAAGCCTTAGCCTTCCACCTATTCCCATAACTACTCACCCAATCCATGTTGAATATAGTCTCTCCTGAGGAGCAGATATCTGAGAAGAGGTTGGAAAGAGAGTGGTGAGGCTCAAATCCCTCCCTTTACCTCCCCAAAAGGCAGCCAGTGAGAAGAATCAGTTTCTGAGGGAAGGCTCACTGGGGCAGGTAACCTCTCTGGCCAGCAGGGTAGCCAATCCAGGATACTGCACAGACTATACTCAACCTGGTACCTACTACAGGGCCTGGAAAGCCTGGAATGACCTGTTGGGAAGGCCCTAGTCTAGAGATCTAGGTAACCCACCCTAGAAAAAGTCAGTGGACACCATGGCAGGTGCTTAACTTCTCAGCAAAGACCTAGGCTATCCAATCCTTTTCCCTCTAGTCTCCATATCACTTATGCTGACATAGTCTCATCACATACTGGGGTGTCCCTTAGGCTAGGGGCAAAGGAAGCAGAAAGATACCTGCAACCTTTACCCTGCTTTTCTGATAGCAGTACCAAGAGGACCTCAGAGTCACAGGTTTAAGACCATGGCATTTGGAGGAGTTAGAATTTCTCTCCTGGCAGCATAAAGGGAAGACAGAACAGACATCATTTAAGGCCTGGATCTTGGGGGCTTGGCCAGAATCTGTTCCTCTGGATTGTGGCCTGGGCCATTGGAGGAAGCAGTCTAGGGGTTGAGGCTCCAGGGCAGACCATTCCCACATAGGCTTTTCATACCCTCAGAAGCTACTCCCATCCTTGTGCCAAGCCCATATTTTTCCTACCCTGATTTTCACATCTTTTGGAGCCAGTTTCTTCACTTCACTCAGCAGTCTGTCACCAAAACCTACAGAAGTCAGGAAAGGAAAGTCTTGGGTGATTTCTCTGGTCCTCTGTGACCACGAGAGCTGAGCACCTGGTTACTCAAGAGGGTGATGACAAACCTTTGAACAGGGTGGAACCTCCTGAAAGCACGATGTTGGAGAAGAGCGTGCGCCTCAGGTCCATGTCAGACTTCTGGATGGCAAACACGAGCACTTCATGGATACCCTCACTCTCCTCGCCAATCAGATCTGGCCGGAACAGAAGCTCAGGGGCACGGAATCGAGAGGGGCCAATCTGCAAAGCAAAAAGCCAGCCTTAGAGGAAGCGGCAAGGGGCTGATGCAGAAGCTTTAGCCTCCTGAATATCCAGAAGTTTAAGAAAGAAAAAAAGAACCACAGGGCTCTTCTCAGTGCTCAGGGAATTTAGAAAGCCCAGGCTTAGGAAATAACCTGTACAAATATATTAAATTAAATAGGCCTTGAATGCAAGCCCCTCGGGTAAGGTTAAGTCCTGCTAAGAAAAGGAAACTGATCTCTTGGGCAAGATCTCTGAGTCTCTATTGGAAAGTAACCCTTTTCTGCTGTTGAGAGAAGCCTAAAGCCTCAGCCTGAACCCAGACCAAAAAAAAAAATTCTTAATTATCACAATCAGTCATCCCCCTGGCCCACTGAGAACAACTCCTGAGTATTTCTGTTGACAGCCCACTTTTCCCTATAAGGAACAAAATTCAAGATGCTTAAGCATCAAGAAGTAATAGAGAACAAGGCTGAGTTTCTACTAATAGCAGGTCTGTGATTCTATTTGGCTCCCAAGCACCACTGTCTCCTGTTTCTGGCTTCCTAATGTTTTTGGTAGCCCAAACTACAGAATAATGTTTGCTTCCGCATTAAAGCAGCTTTGAATTTCCATGGACTGGGCAAAGAAGCTGTTCCTTTTTTAGACCTGGACCTCCCCATAGGTAGCCCTATCCCCAGATGTTCTCTAGCAGGTTTGTGTCCTGTCCAGATACCTCAATGGTGCTTCCATCAGGTAGGTAGTACTGAGCCTTCTCTGTCTCCAGAGTCTCATCTTTCTGTGGGTTTATGGACAGGTAGCAGGCTCTCTGTAGGGCAAAGCATAAGAGGGGGTTAGAAACAAAAGTTATCATATCAGAGTTAGAATGCCCCACAACAGAAGCCTACAATCTATAAGGTCAGTCTTGAGAGCAGGCCTTTCTATGAGAAGAAATGGCTCTGAGTCTAATGTCCTTCCTCTTCCTTTCAGCAGTTTTTATCACTAGTCTAACCCCTAACCACTTGGCACATGTGGCTCAGGTGGGTCTGGGAAACTCCCAGTTCTTCCACAGCCTTAGCTACCATAAGCATTCTCTTTCCATATGAGGAATGTGGTCTTGGGGTGCTCCCTCACTCCCATGTCAGGTCTTTGTAAGGTTTCCGTTTTTTAAGTTTAGGAGGATGGCAGAGGTGGTGAAGGCACATATCTCAACACTGGCCACCAGAGGGCAGCACTTCAGGAAGCTGAGCCTCTGCTCCATTCTGGCTAAGGAGAAAGAGCTTTCCAAGGAGAGCACGGACAGCCACAGTGGCTGAGCTCCACGGCCTTCCAATTCTCCCTTCCCTCAATACTTCCAAGGGTCTCTAATAGTGCTGGTAGAGGTGTTCTCTCCTCTACACAAAAGGGTCATGACCCCTCTAGTACTAGGCAGAGGGTCCTCATGAGTTGCTCTGGTCAAAACATTCATTCCCCTGATGAGTCTCTCTGAATTTAGCTAGACTGGTCTTCAAATTGCAGACATACAGTCCATCACTTGGCTTGTACTGGAAGCATTTCCAGCTTGATAGGACCTGTCAGAGATTGTATTCTGCTGGCACTGCCTTTTAGAACCCAGGCCTGCCTCTGTGCCACATTAAGGAATCAAAAATGGATAGAAAAATCGATAGAACTTTAGTGCAAACAAAGCCTCAACTGCAAATGGGAAATACAAAGAATTAACGACAATCAGTGGCAGAGCTGGGACTCAAGCCCAGGCGTCCTGATTCTAAAGGTGGAGCTCTTTCGACTATTCTGTACTCCGGCTACCAGGAGGCAGCCTGGTGGAAGAGAAGGAGTTGCTGGGAAGCAGATGTACTGACACCTCCCTACTCCTGTTCCCCCAAAGACACTGAATTTCCCTGGAGGCAAGGGGGTGGTACAGTAGATAAGAGTACTGCACTTGCTCATCAGGAAGACCTAAGTTCATATCTTTCCTCAAACATTAACTAACTGTGTAACCCTGGGCTTCTGTTAGCCTGTTTCTTCATCTGTAAGATGAGGATAATAATAGCATATACCTTACAGAGTTGTCATGAAGTTCCAATGAAAAAATACACATGTAAAACACTTTGCAAACTTAAGATCACTATTATAAGTGTTAGTTATTATTAGATATTATTATCATGATTATTACCCTTTCCTCCCCATTTCTGGGAAGTTGCCTTAGTGCTCTCTATAAGCCCTGCTCCCCTTTCCTGACCGGTAGCTCTTGATTCCAAGCACACAGTTCTTGGTGGTGTTCCCATCCTGGGCAGAGCTCACCTCTTTGATGGTCTTGACAATCTCAAACTCCGATGATGAGTGAAAATCATAGCCCTCTTTTCGAAGGTAGAGACGGAGGAAACGGGAGACATCACGGCCAGCAATGTCAATGCGCATGATGGAATGGGGCATGGCAAAGCCCTCATAGATGGGGACCGCGTGGGTGACCCCATCTCCAGAGTCCAGCACCACTCCTGTGGTTCTTCCTGTCGCATATCTGAAGCAGAAGGGATCAGGAATCAATAGCTTGACCTTTACTCCAGGAAGAAATCCACTCCTCGTAAGCAAGCTGCTCAATTCAAGTCAAAGTCAAAGCCTTGAAATCATGGACAAGGAAGGAACTTCAACTCCTTGCCTCTCAGTTAATTCAGGTAAAATAAAGAAAACAAGAGACTAGAGGGGAGACCTGCATATTGCCTTCCCCCCACTCTGCTGAAGAATTTAAGCCCTCTGAGTGGAGGGACAGCTTTGTCTTTGTATTCCCAATGCCTAGCACAATACCTGGCACATAGTAGGTGCTTAATAAGTGCTCATTAAATGAATTAATAAATACTTTTCTCACTGAGTTGCAAGAAAAGCACTTTGTAAATCTTAAAATGTTATGTACACATAATTATAACCCATTATTATTTCTACAATAGCCTCCTTGGAATTGGACCTACTTCCTAAACCCCCTAAACCCCCTAAATGGGGTTGAAAAAATGAGGCAAGATTTGAGAAACATACACAATGAGCTAATCATCCTCCCAGGAAACCAAAACCTTACCTACTTCTTCTGCAAACCAGGTTCCCTTCCAGAAAGTCCTTGGAAAAGCTGACTCCCTCAGTAGAGAAAACAGCTTTTCCTGATTTGTTCCAGTAACCCCATTCTCCCTAGATAGTAGCCATGTTCTCTAGATAGAAACCATAATGAAGAAATGGGCACACCAGGCATTAAGGGATGTGGTGGTGTGCAGTGAGAGAAGAACAGGGTTTTAAGGGAGTTTCAGTGGCATATGCCAACCTTTTTTTTTTCCCCCTTCAGGACTCTCAGCAAGCATTCACAGATGTGGATAGCATGGGTAAAGCCATTTCCTAGATTTACTACCACCCATATGGTTCTGTCCATTGGGTACTAAATTCAACGCCAATCTGAGCTGACAGAAATCTGAGTGGACAAAGACAACAAGGAAATCTCATTTGGTTTCCCCAAAGACCAATTCCTCCATGATTAGCATTTAGCTTCAATACCTCTATCTTTCCCTTTTTTCTGCCTCCCCCAACCCTTTGCTAGAAAGGGGTATCAGGTTGTTCTGACACGACTTAGCTGGGAGGAGTGGGAGACTAGCTTAGGTCAGCAGCCTGATTATCTACCCCTGGGGACAGTCAACTACTCACAGGCTAAGCACAGCTTGCATGGAGATGAAGAGGGCTGGCACATTGAATGTCTCAAAAAAAACTTCAGCAGCACGTTCCCGGTTTTTTCGTGGGTTCAAGGGAGCTTCAGTCAGGAGCACAGGATGCTGGTAAAAACAGCCCCAACCACACATGAGTGTGACCTCCAAGATTTTACTCGTTACTAACAGGGTAGGTAGGTAAAGAGGAAGATAGGAGCCCTGAGGTGGTAGGAGGTTGGTCCTGAAGGTGGTCAGCTGATAGAGCCACCAGATCTCCCACCCAACAAGCAGGACCTTGGGGAGATTCTCCCCAAGGTTAAGACTTTCTGAACTTTTCATGCCTTGGAGGGCTTCCGGTTAACAGAACAACTCTCACCTCTTCTGAGAAAGTCTGAAGCTGGTCTTTAGAATAGACATACTGCCAGATACGCTCCATGTCATTCCAGTCCTTCACAATGCCATGTTCCATGGGGTAGCGGATGGAGAGCAGCCCACGATGCTCCTGTAAGCACAAAGCAAAACCTCAGCCCTATGGTCCAGAGTCCTGGTATCTTAGTGCTGTGCTTGCATTTGGGGAGAAAGGGGAAGAGACTGAGGAGGAAAATGTGGTCTTTGGAAAACATAACTTGGGTATGGAATGAAACATATTTTCAGATATGGTCAATGTTGGCTCATGTTGCTTGATGATTCTTACTTGTTATAAGAGAAAGATATATTGGTAGTGTGAGTTAGTAGAAAGTAACAGAAAAGCCACTAAAATATAAAAAAATACACTGAGGAAAATTCAGAAGGGGTCACAAACAGGCAAATTTTTTTTTTACTTCCTTGTTCAATTTAATGTGCACATACATGTAATAATATATATAACTGAATATAATACAAGTTAACAATTTTATATATAATCCTCCTTTTCAAAGGGTTAGGGACTTCAGCTCCTCCAAACTCAACCTACAATCTAAGAGCCTTTTCTATATCTTTGAGGTTCTTAATGTGGGATACATTAACTTGTTTATCCTGTAGTTTGATAATTGTATTTCAATATAATTGCTTTTCTTTGTAATCCTATATATTTTATTTAGTGCCTTTTAATACATTATTCTGAGAAGGGGTCAGATGGGTAGGCAGCTCATCACTCAAGCACTCTATGACCCCCAAAAGTTGAAGAAATCCTGCTTTGGAACGACCCAATACCCAAACCTCCCTTCTTCGATGCCTCTACTGCCAAACTGGAAGAAGTGCCAACCTATTAGGATCTGAAGCAACAGGTATAGGGCATTCTGCTCATTATCTGGACAAAAATAAAGAAATTTCTTCTCATGTATGTGTACCTGGAAGGTCAAGGCCAAATCCAGAAGTAAAAATATCGCCATTCCTCTTGGTAGAAAATAACTGAAGACTTCAGCAATAATGAATTAGATGAGTGCTTAATCACTACAACCATTTTACAACCAAAATACTGAGAAGCAATCGATTTTTGCATCATTTCATTTCTTTACATGTCACTGACAGAATCCCAAAGAACAGAGTCTCAATTTCAGGCCCATGTTACTGTATGTGACAATGGGATCAGGAAGGGCTCCCAGACAAGAGGCGGCTGCTGTGAGGAGTGGGATGAAGCAACGGGTAGGATGAGGACTACATGGAAGACCCTGAAAGGAAATTGTTTCTTTTTGTGGTTGGGTTCATTTGCTGAGATGGCCAGCACTCGGGAGAAGGGGTGGAGTGGGGTGGGTTTTAAGATCTGGAAGGGAAAGTTCTTCTATTGGCTTAAGATGACATCCATAGTTTATTACCTCTGCTTTGGGGCCAATGAAAATATCCCCTTCCAGGGCTCCAGCCATGACACGGACATGTTTTGGTCTGCCTACACTGCGAAAAAACAGAGAAAGGTGATTTTACAGAAAAACATAAAGAATGTCAGTGTGTCTTTCTCTTCTCCCCCTTTAAAAACTGAACTAAATTTAACAAATTCCTCTCTCCCTGCACAAGACATACTTTGCACGTAAGTATCCAAGGGGAAAAGGACCTTATCAAATTTCCAACAGAATGTCACACCTCAACACATTGTCCTCTGTGGTCCTCACATATGAGCAGAGGCAAGGCAGAACCGTGAGGTTCTTCACATTTGCCTTCTGGGCCTTTTGCTTCCACTCCAGTGCTCTTCTGCTTGTGAACTCTCCTGTCAAAGGGGAAAGCTACAAGAAACTCATCCTCACTCAGGTCTGTGTACTTGGCTCTCTCTCATGGATATCACAGTAAATCTTAATAAATGATTGCTGAATAAATGAATTGTCATTCTGAGGAATATGTGCATTTTAAAAGACGACTTCAGGGCAATGTTTAAACCAAATGAATGACTCACTACTGTTAGAATTTTAGCACCAGCTGAAGAGATAGTGAGGCCTCTCAAGTCAAACCAAATAAGTGGTCCAGCCATTTCAACTATCTCTAAAGCTGACACTTGCTTCTTACTGTCTCAAGTATCTGAGTTGTCCTCTCAGCTCTACCTAGGCTCCCAAAGTAGGATTTCTTTGAAAGGAAGGAGTCTGACCCCATAATGACAAAGTCACCCACCCTAACCTCTGATTAAGCCATAGTGTGACTTACTAGTTTGGAAAACAGTACTTGGGAATTTGATCTCCTGCAAAACCAGCTTTAATCACACCAGAGCCCTGGGGAGAGAAGTGAAGCAAGTTAAAAGTTTAGGAAAAACAATGGAGAGTCAATGGAAAGTAACTATGAGTTCTAAAGCCATAAATTCAGGGATGAAGTCCCAGGGATGCAGTATCTTCCTTTGGCATTTGGGGAAAACACATTCTCCTAACTATAACTACGCATAATGCTTTTAAATGCTTTGAGAGCTCAGGCTTGGATGCAGGTAGCCTTTCTTTCAATCCCAATGAAACACCAACAGGCCAGCCCTCCAAAGTATCCTGCTGATGTTGAATTTGATCTATACAGATGCTAAGGAGGCTGACCCTGAAAGGAGATGTAATTCAGTTCACAGTGCAAGGTTCTACTAGTCAGTCTCCGCAGGGAAAGGGAGGAAGATTCTTGCTTAAGACCCGGAGGAGAGGCTAGTTCAGACCATGAGGACTGGCCTTGGCCTTTGATGCTCTATGGTTGTGGGTACAGTAACCGTAACTGACAGCTAGAATCTTAATTCAGCACCTTTAGTACCACTCAATGGCCCAATGAGGTTAATCATCAACTTTAGGAACAGGTACCAACATTAGGCATAACAGATATCTGAGGCTGAACACTGCTTTTAGGTATACACCCTCTGCCTGCCCAGTACTCTCCTCCACCCTGCAGGATTTAAAGCTTCCACTGTAACTGGGACAGGTCCATTCCTGCTGTTCTTTTTGTTTTAGCCCAGGATCCTGCTATTTTCAGAATACATAGAGAATGATATACCAGAAACTGCTCCAGCTCACTCCTTTTGTATCCAATACCTATATACAACCACAGTAGTCTCAGAGAGGAAGGAAGATTGACCACTTTGGGGCAACAGTCTAGTTTTCTTCTAAGAAGATTAGGTAGAGGAAGTAGAAAGTGATTAAAGAACAGGGAAAAGGAGATGAGGGTAGAACAAGTCAATTCTCTGAGCAAATGATAATGATGAACCATTGCCAAGAAAAAGGAAATGAGAAGATCGAATGCAAATGGTGTAATTTAAAGCAAGTATGGGACAGAATTTGAAATTGCTCACTAGTCAATTTGAGAAGAAAAACTGCCCTAGTAACTCCAAGATAGACAGGAATAAAAGCCTGGAAAAGCCTCAGCCAGAAATTGGACACAAGTGGAGAAAAGGAGGAATTATATTATTGTGGGTTCAAGGACTTAAGTTCTGGAACCTACAGAGAAGATACCATAATGAAGTGATGAGAACTGTTCTTGGTAAGAGGAATCCTGGGAAACTGGCTAACTCAAATCTCTTGGATTGCCCACTGCTCTTCTCTGGCCCTGGAAACGTAGATAGGCTGTTGGAGCTCCAGGAAGGTTTCCACAGGATGGAAACTTGGAAAGGAAAACTATGTGAGATTTACAACACTGGTTTTTAAGAGGTATAGTCTCCTTATCTGTATTTCAGTCAATTGCCACAGAGATTTAAACATAGCAAATACTTAATGTTTATTGAATTGATTTGAATAAAATTATGCAAAGAGAGGTCTTAGGGACTAGATTTCAAGCCAGACTAAGATATTATATTCATTTCTTCCCTTCTTTCCTTCATAGCAAGAACATAATAAGCTTGATGGTCCACAAGTGTTATACATTGCTTATATTTTCAAATTTTTTAAATGTATTTTATCAGTTTCACTGATTTTTCCTCTCTTTTTGTCTGTAATATGGTGATGCAAAAAAAAAATACAATAAAATTTATTTTAAAAGAAAGCCCAAACAAAGAAAAAAAAGCTTGCTGGTTTCAAATAAGATTCTTCACCTAATGGGAAAAGGGACTTTTAAAAAAATTGCCCTCCTGGGGTTGTGGAGACACATATTCCACCGTGTTCAAGTTCACTTTTCTTACCAGATCCATACCCACTTTGGGATTGCAAATGGAAATGGTGATTGGACTGGGGACAGGCAGCTGAAATTCCTGAGAGGTCCAAGACCCAATCTGACTCCAGAGAAGCTCAGGCAATGCTGGTAATGATGCATGAGGTAGCATCACACTCAGCCCCAGAGCAAGCAAGGACTGTTAGGGAGTGAAATGGACCTGCTAAGAAACTGGGTGAAGTGCAGAAGGGATAAGTAGCAGCAGCATCTCTGTTCTGCTCCAGCCAAACCACTACAGCAAACAAAAGGGTTATGCCAACTTCCTTAACAGCAATTTATAATTAGGAACTTTGTACCTGGCAAATGAGCTGCCACTTTCTTTGTTATTCACCATGGCAAAAGTCAAATAAACAAACACATAGCAGCAGGCTCACTGAAAACAAGTGTTCATAAAATATTTGATTTCCTCATTAAATATTTGATCTCTGAGAAGAACCAGAGTCTGCTGCCAGCAATGGCTACATGGAAGAGAGTCATTTTGGTGCTGAAATGGAGTTTCTAATGTGGGAAGACAAACCACAAGTTCCTCAGCAGGCACCAGAAGCACACAGCAGCCAGACTGCCAAAGGACTGGGACTGAAAGAAACTGACCACAGGCACTATTTAACACTATAACTGTCCATCCCTGAGCAGTCTTCCTCCTTGTAAGTGGCAACAGGAATTCAAGGGGGCAGGAGTCTCTCGATAGGGAAAGTCAGGAATCAATGTCAGCAGAAGAATTCAAAGAATACAGTCCTACACTTAATCCTTGGGCACAATATGATTTTAAGGTGTTTACAACTGCCTTTGGCTGTTTCTTCTCATATCCATTTCAAGTTTTTTCTGGACCCTCCACAGCACCTTGGATAGTGTGAGACTTGGCCAAGGCACTTAGTACACACTCAACTGATTGGCATAATACTTCTTAAAATAATCTCTTCTTTACCCAATCCTTCAGGATGTTGTTCAGGTACAAACCAAGACTGTGAATGTCAAATTCTATGTGAGGGCATGATTTGGATTGGTTTCATTTTCTAGTCCATTTTAGGGTTTCTAAGATTTTCTAGAATCACTGAGCTGGAAAGAGTTTAAGAGTGAAATAACTATTTTCTTAATGATGAAAATCTGAAAAGCTGAGGCTGTTTTTTTGGCTGTATCTTATCTACAGCAGAGGGTCACAGAATCAGAGCTGAGATAGACTGGAGAGGTCATCTAGTTGAAGGCCTTTATTTTACAGATAAAGACACTGAAGAGTTCAGAAAAGTTAAGAGATCTGCCCAGGGTCACACAGCAGGTGAGAGGCAGGACTAAGATTCAAACCCAGCTCCTCAGACTACAGTCTAAAAACAACTTTAAGAGTGTATAGAACTTTGATCTTTTAGAAAGTAAACTGTAACCTTTGAGTTCTTAAGTCACCAAGGACTTGGGGCGGGAAATGATGATCACGGATAGGCAATAAGTTCTCTTTTTACCCAAAGAAAATTGAAAAACAATTTTCTTTTAAATTTTTAAGCAAATTTATTTGTATCAGTGATTCCTGTAGTAGATAACACAACTTTCAAAATATGGTCCACAGGCATAGTTGTAGACTGAGGGATCCTCTATTAGGAATCCTACGATTTTAGAGCTGAAAGAGTCCTTAGAGATTATAATAGAGTACAGTCCACACATTTTGCACACTAGAAACTGAGGCTCAGAAAGTAGAAATGACACATATACGGATCACAGATCTACAGTTGGAAGAGATCTCAAAGGCCACATTGCAGTCCAACTCTCTCATTTTACAGATGAGGAAACTGAGGGCCAAGGGTTACATTGCCTTGTCCAAGATCACACAGGTAGCAAATTTTAGACGTGAGATTTCAAACCAGATCCTTCTTACTACAAAGCCAATGCTCTTTCCACAGTTCCACAATGACTTGCCCAGGGTCATACAGAAAGGTGGTGGCAGAACTGAGACTAAAATCCAGCTCTTTTGACTCAAGTCCAGTATGCTTTTTACCATACCATTCTACTTCATTTTAGTATTGTTATATTTAATAAAAACATCTTTCTGACTATAATTACTCATGATACTTACCTCATTGATACTTGCAAAATTAATTTCATTTTTTTTCTCATTAATTCTAGGTAGCTTTTTGTGGTGTCAAGCAGGAGTAATATATGTTAGATAGCAGTGGTACCAGCCAGAATAGCTGATGAAAAAAATCTGTTTTTTCTTCCCTTCCTTAATCCCGCCTTCTAACAAGTACTGCATTCTTAGCTTCCAGGAAAAAGATTTTTTACAAAGACACAAAGTCTTCATAAAATGCTAAAACTGTGAGACCTATTTCCATCAGTAAACACTTCTCATCAGAATAGATACCTAATTCAGTAATCTAATATGGCTCATTCTACTCTTCATCCTGAGAACTAAAAAGAGCTGCAAAAGAGTCATCAAAAAATTAGCTCAGAATCTCAAACACTAAGAATTCATTGAGATCTCAAATCTAAATTTAATGTGGCATATTCTCAGCAGCATCCTAAGGATGAACGACAAGTTTCTCAGATTTTGCTTTCAGTAGATGTACTGGCACAGGGATAAAAATGTTTTCCCACTGAAAAGACAAAAGCTGAGTCTTCTCGTTTGAAAATTAATAATAGTATTGTTACTCTTAAGTACAAGTTAATATGTTATTAGGGAAAGGAAGAAGGGTGAACTCCGTCCAGGGGGAACTAATTATCCTTTATAATAGAGAAAGAGCAAGGAGAATGATGGAAAGAGTTAGAGTTGAGATTATACATTAATACAAGAGGCAGGGATCTGGTTAAACTGATGGACTTGACATTTCTACTCCTTAGCACTGCTGAAGGAAATTTAAAAATTGCTGTCAATTTGCTAAATGCTAATTTTACAAAGGGGGCAAAAAGAAAATGATGATAGACCAGTTACATCTGCAGGAGGCCAGTAGACACAAGAACCTAAATTTGAAAAGTAAGGGAGAACACTACTCAGGCTATTACAGTGTGAATGCAGTTTTCTTTTTTCCTTCGGCCCTCTGGACTCTTGGGTTGTTTATCACTACCCTACTTAAGTTGGTCTCACCATTATCACCTCCTTTAAGTCAGATCCACGGAGACAGCAAAGGCAGCTGATACAAACTTCCCTGGATCTGGCAGACAAATATTTCCCCAAGGTCGTGATCAATGTGGCAAAGTTCAAAGGGGGCACCTCTGGTAAACGAGATTCCAAGTAAGCCTATGTTGAACATTAGCACCTGTAATCACTTTTTACCTTTACGGAGATGGAAATGCAGTTGTTTCCAGAAAGGGAATTTAGCCCCCACAATCAGAAGTACATTTGGGAGGCTACAGTTCGATCTTCCCCCAAAACTAGAGGTGCATTTGGGTTTTTCTCAGGAGGAGGGGAACCTCCCTGCGTTATGACCCCCTGATTAATTAACACCACCATTATAGTGACCACAAAAACAATAAAGCCCAAGGAAACTCCCTTACAGCCACCAAGGCTCCCAGGGAACCCCATCCTACCCCACCCAGGGCCTGGACTTGGCCTTCCCACACACCCACCCCACCTAGGCCCAGGACTAAACAAAATCAGGCCCTTCCCCACCCATGGGCGGAACCTGTCCCACTAGTCTCAACAACAGGAGTCCCGGGAGCCAATCCTTGACACTCCCTTCTGCCCCGCCCCGCCCCACAGAAAGAGGAAACCCTACGGCATTCCATCAGATTGACTGAGGAGCTAGCCAATCCCCTCAGAGTGCTGCCCCTTCCGGCTAGCCCGAGAGGCGGAACTAACTAGTTGAGATAGACAGCTAAGCGAGCCAATAGGGTTATCAGAACTAGAGAAGGGGCTGGGCCCTGGGCACCGACAGAGCGGTTAAGGCCCCTCAGGCCAAGGGCCCGATAACCCGGGGGCTAGACGTGGGGCCTTTTTCTCCTCTGACCTACACCCTAGGGATGCTGACTTATGGACCGGCTAGGGACTGCCTCCCTCAAGGAGAAGGGGACGGCCAAAGCCTTCTGACAGGCCGAGCCAGTGACAAAGAGTCAGCGGCCAGGGCGGGGGACCCTCAGACTAAGATAGCCCGGCCCTGCTCGAGGAAGAGAGAACCAAGACTCACGTTGTCGATCACGACAGGCTGGTTGGCGATAATATCGTAGGACTCCATGGCAGAGGGGTTTCTCCTCCGGAGGAAGAAACTGCCAGCCGGGTCCGCTGCTGCTACCGCCGCTACACATGCGCAATGCTGTCCCCGGGACAAGGAGGTCGGGAGGGGCCGCTCCTCGCCCTCCGGAAGACTACAGTCCCCAATATGCTATGCGGTACCCCCCTCCCCCTCCCCGGAAAGCCTCTCTTACTCTTGTTTCAAAATCGAGCTAAGCTTTGCATGATGGGTACCAGCCTTTCCCTCGCACAGCACTTTGGGCTTTGTAGTTTACTTAGAGAAGTGTGGAAAGGGACATAAATTGTTTGCCGTCGTTGCATGATGGGATATGTAGTCCATTGAGGCTTTGAGGCGGGTTCGAAATGTGTGCTGGGACATGCAGTCTCACCGGGCTGTAGCTCTAAGTACTTGCCTGTGGCCTCTCATAAATCCGCTACATACCGGGAACTTTTCTCCACAGTGAAATAACTTATTTTTCATTCTTGCTTTATACTTATATTTTATCCCTGCTATTCGTAGGGCCCATCTCCTTTCACATTTTTGCATGGCTTCGATCTTTTGTTTTGCAACGTGTGTGTGTGTAGGGGGAGGGTTCTAACATTCATGAAATCAGCACAATGTCATCTGCCAACACAAGCATCTTTAAAACCTTACCGTTTAGACTCCTTCTCTTACGTTTAGACTTTGTTTTGGACTTCCTTCCTGACAATGCCCTTTGGTAAGCCCATGTGTCCATTGATAGTCATCATCGGAGGTTATCTCTAAAGCTGGAGCGTACAAGGATTCTTGTTTGATTTTTTTAAATGGAGCTGTGCTTGGTTGACAATGTGTCAAGATTGAATTTGGCTGTATAAAGTCACATGCTTTTTTTTAATATTCGACAAACAACAAGCCCAGTGAGACCTTGTATTCTTTGTTTCATTCAGTCAGTTGTGTAACTATAAAGATGTGGTCTGTTACAGAACATAATTTATGAAAACCTTTCTGTTCTTTCTCATATTTTCATCAAGGATGCCCACAATATGTGTTCTTAATTCTCATAATTTTTGTAGGTATATGGGTTTACTGTTATTGATTTTTTAAATAATTATTTTCAGTAGTAAAAATGCCCATTTCTTCCCCTCACCCACTTTGGCATCCTCTCCTTTTTATTAGATATCTTAAGAATCAGTCCCTCAGCATTCATAGTACTGTGTTGCATCAGAACAGACCTCTTCTAGTTATACTTTGTTTAGTCTATCTGTATAAGTTGTTGTTTGTGATCATTTTTGACAGGCCTTTTAGAATCAGAAGGGCACTCAATTATCTAGTTAAAATGCTTCATTTTACAAATGATACTAAGATCAAGAAAGGTTAAATTATTTCCCCAGGATCACACAGCTGTTATTGAATAGCCAGAACTAGTAAGAGCATTTCTGCCAAAATTTCCTTGAACAAGTTATTTAACCTCTCCAAGTCTCATATTCACATGTACAATGAATAGATTGAATTAAATGATATCTGAGGTTCCTTCCATGAGAATTTTTGGTTCTGGTTTCAGGTCTGATCGTGCCCCTTCTCTGCTCTAAAACCTTACCTGGCTCTGTATTGCCTCAAAGATAAAATAGAAACTCAAGTTTGCATTTAAGGCCCTCCTGTTCTAAGCTCTTATTTCACACTCTTCACCTTCACAAATTAAGTTCTAATTATTTTTTTTAATATAATTTGAGTGAAAATAAATTCAATACAGGGACTTTCAATACTAGCACCACCAGCCCCTATGCTCTGTGAACAAACAGCTGGACTCAAAGTCAAGTCATTCCCCCCACCTTCTGTTTCCTGATCTGGAAAATGGGGCTAATATGCCTGCAGTAGGTACTTCACAGTTCATTGCTATCATCTTCAAAGATGATAATGTACATGAAATGCTTTCCACCCTCCAAGACCTTGTTAAACCTAACCTTATCTGCACCAAAGCTGCTCTGTCAGGATGGACAATATGCCTCTGAACCAACAGATCAGTTCAGGTAACAGGCAGCTTCTGTCTTTTCCCATAATGTTGCTGTTCTACTACAGTGTTAAATACAACAACGACCATTGGGAAACTTACTCTGGGCTCCATTTTGACTGCAACAGCTATAGGAGGAACTGCCACAGCTTCGATAAGGGCCTAAGTCCTAATTTTTAAAGATGATACTTTATCTTCTACCTCCATGTATCCCATGACTGGTATGCACTTTCTTTTCATCTCTGTTTCTCAGTCCTTATTGTCCTTGTCCTTCAAGGCCAGTTCAGGTTCTGCCTATTTCTTGAAGTCTTTTCTGATTTTCCTCAGTTGCTGATGTGTTTCCCCTCCTCAGTTTACCACAAATTAGAGTTACCTGTGTACATACTGTATCCTCTCCAATAAAATGTATGCTTGTTGTGGAAGGTGACTATGGGTTTTTTTTGTTTTTATATCCCCAGTGCTGAGCACACTGTTTTGAATATAGGTGCTTTATAAATGTCCAATCAAATTCTTATGAACTGCCCTTCAAGGCACCCAGAGTTTCATGCATCATCTCATTCCTTTTGATAGAGAGCCAGAATTATAACCTTATGTGGAAATGGAAACAAGGACAGATTAAGTAGCAGAAATGCAGACTGTTCTTGGCTTTGCAAGTTACTAGCCATGCAGCCATGGAAAAGTCATTTACCCTATCTGAACCTTCCTGAGTTTCTAAGTCTATAAAATGAGAATGATACTTGTACTATCTATCTCACAAGGTTGTTATAAGGGGAAGTCTTTTGTAAGCCTTATCAAATTTGATAATATTTTAAAGCACTTAACACAGTGCCTGGCACCCAGGAGGTGCCTAATAAATGCTTGCTACTCCCCTTAAAGCACTATACAAATGTGAGTTACTATTAGGATACCCATTCCTAAGTATCGGTGTCTTTTAGTTAGTTAATCATACTTGCCTTCGGAACCCCCTCTTTTTCTATTGATTCCCGTGGCTGTCTCATTTTACATTCAAGATTATTTGAGTAAATAAATGTGCCTATAAAGTTATTGTAATTTTAAAAAAATCTGTAAGCTGATGTCTTAGAAATTTTTTTTTAATCTTTTTTTTTTTTTTGGTGAGGCAGTTGGGGTTAAGTGACATGCCAAGAGTGACACAGCTAATGAGTGTTTTATGTGTCTGAGTCTTAGAAATTATTAAGTCTCTCCCCACATATAGAAGGTAATGGTTATGAGGGACAGCAGGTATTCCTCACTAGTAACTTTTCAATGTAGAAGAGAAATAGCAGAAGGGAATGTTATAATAAAAAAAAACCATTTATTAAATTTCTATCTGTACACAGTACTTGTGGAAAATTATTTAGAGTGGCTTTACTTCTCCAAAAGTGGGTATTATATTTTGGTTCAGACCTCTGTGACTTTATCTGTATAGAGGAACTCCAGTTATAGAAACTCCTCTCAGTGATGCAGACTGGCAACTCATCTGTAACTGAAGGAATTTTTCAGAGCTACCTAGGAATATCCAAAGGTTAAGCGACTTGCCCAGGGTTAGGCAGCTTGCCAGGGTCTCTCACAGTGGCAAGTGTGACAGGCTGGCTCTCAATCTGGTCCACCACGTTGCCTTTTGTTTTAGTAATGTTCTTTTACAAAAATAACCCCAGCATTGTGGAGTTTACAGTCTTACATACAACAAACGGAAAAGAACACATAAAAGTCCCAGCCGACAGAGGTAACGTTTCAGGAGTCTCGATGGCCTTTGGGAGACACACATTTCCTGGATCTTGTTCAAAGATGCTGGTGTTGCCGATAGGGAAACGAAGCCTAAACTGTTTAAAAAAAAAAAAGTCAATACCACGCAGACGAATGAATGAATGAATCGGTCAGTCGGGATAGAACTTCCTTGGCACAAGGGGGAGAGCAGCGGTAGCTGTCAAAAGTACAGAATCGTAGTCCTCTCGCTAGTCTATGAGGGATGCCCAGAGCCCTGCGTGCACTCAGGTTAGCACCTCCTAATGGCCAGGGCTAGCCCAATTAGCTTCTCCTCCCACCCTCCCGGGTCTCTGGACGGTGGAGGCGGGTCCTATTGTAAGGCCACGCCTTCCCACCTGTGACTGATATAGATGATAACCAATAATCATCAGGAGAGCGGGCTCTGGAGCCCCGCCCCAAAGAGCGCCCGGCGGGCCCGCGGCGCCCCACTGGCAGACTCGGCAGCGGCGGCGGCCTGGGTGGACGGGGGTGCTGTGCGCAGGCGCGGAGTCCGGACCTCGCTGCTGCCCCGGTCGCCTCAGGGCGTCGCACCCACGAACTCTGCCTGCTGTCCCGTCAGTGTGTCCGTCAGTGCCAGCCTCCGCCCCCCGCCCCGGCCTCGGTCCCCACCGCCCCGATGGCTGAGCTGCGGCCTAGCGGCGCCCCCGGCCCCGTCGCTCCCCCGGCCCCAGCCCCGGCTCCGGCCCCTGGCCCCGCCGCACCCCCGGCCTTCGCCTCACTCTTTCCCCCGGGGCTGCACGCCATCTATGGCGAGTGCCGCCGCCTCTACCCCGAGCAGCCCAATCCGCTGCAGGTCACCGCCATCGTGAAGTACTGGTGAGCCCGGGGGGCGGAGCGGAGCGGAGGGTCAGCCGAGGGGGGCGGGGGCAGCGCGGGCGGGTGTGGAAGGGTTAAGCCGACGGGTGGGGGGAGGGGCCAGCGAGGCGACGCTTGGGAGGGAAAAGGTTAACTCGGAAGCCTCCGGGGAGTAACGGGGACAAAGGGGTTAACCGGCCTCGAGGACCCAAGAGTTAATGGAAATTTGGGCAGAGGGGGTGCTTGGGGCTGCGGGGCTATGGAAGAAAAGGGGTCTTTGGTGCCGGGGGTGGGGCGTAGGGACTCGTAGACCCTGGCGGGAGGCGAGAGGGGCTACGGCTTAGGAGAGGGAGCCAGGATTGGGGGGCGGATGGGGGGAGGACAGGACATTATTGTAGGATGGAAAAGCCTAGGAGACCCAAGCTGGGGGTTTGGGGCTGAGAGCGGGTTGTTCGGACGGCCTAGGGTGGCTGCTTGGGTCGGGGGAAAGTTTGCCTGTTTGGGGCTTGTTGGAAGGAGTCCCTCTTAGGGATGGGGGGAGGGGAGGGAAAAGAAGGGGAGGGGAGGAAAGAGAAGGGCTATGCCCTGGATGGAGTGGAGATTAGAGAAGAGAAGAGGAGTTTTTTTTCCTGACACAGGCAGGATGAGCTAAGACCTCTTGGTAGTGGACAGGTTTTGCATTTGAAGTTTTTTGATCGGTAAATTCCCCTCCCCTTTTGTTTTTAAGTTTTGGAAGTTTTTTCTGAAAGTCCTTTCTTTGAAGGTCTCTATTGCTTTTGGGTAATGAACTGACCACAATCTTAATTTCTGTAGACCTAGAGGAGGAAAGCAGATTGAGTCCAGGGTCAAACATAGGGAATGAGGAATTCTTAGGAATTTAAAGGGGCTAAAGGTTAGGAAAAGATTCGTATATGAGTTTTTTTTAGGCGCAGCTTGCGTTATCTCCGTTGGAAGACGTGAAAAGAATCCTATAGTGAGAGGCCTGGGTTTTTAGCCCAGCGTCTCTGACACTTAACTAGTTCTCTTTCCACTGACAGGTCACTTAAACTCTCTGGGTCAAAGTTTGCTCTTTTGCAAAGTGTTTTAAATGAGCTCCAAAATCTCTTCGAGCTCCAAATTCTTTGATTTTTAAAAATGATTTTTGATTGCCCTAAAGCACTGAGGGTGTTTGGCCTTAAGAAAACAGTAGGGAGAATGTTTGAAGGGCTGTCACATGGCTCTAAAAGGCACAAATATTAGGAGCACTGAGGGGAGGAGGAGTGGAAGAGAAGTGGATTCATACTTTATTTAAGAAAAAACTTTCTAACAATTAGGTTTATGCAGAAGTTAGAGGAGATACTGCTTGAGGTCTTCAAGAGAATATTATAGAGGGGATTCTTAGTCAGATGGGAGTTAGATTAAATGGCCCCTGAAATCTCTTGTGACTCTCATTCTGTGATTCTTATGTCAAGCAAACTGGTAACAACCAATGGATTCTGGCAAGGAGACTGTTGTCTCAGCTAGAAAATGTACTATATTGGTACAAAGATTTGTTTCATGAGAATTGTTTTATAGCTTGTAACTGTCCCTTTAAAGAAGACACTCAGTGCATGTCCATGCAGCCTTGGGACAGGAAGAAGGGGCAGATCCCTGGAAACTGACCTCTTGAGACAGCTGCTCTTCTTGTGGCTCTGGAATCAGTTGACTGGAAAAAGGGGAAGTTGGGTTAAGTGAGTTCCATTTCTGAATCATTTGGCCTATGATTTTGTCTTTTGGGATTGAGCACTTCTCACCAAATACCCTACCATTTCCCTTTAAATGCTGCTGTGCAGGTCAGTGGCTAGTAGACTTCCGTGTTGGAACAAGTGGTCTGCAGCAGGGCAGGCTCAAAAGTTGGCTAAGCAATAGATAATGAGACCTGGCCGCTTGTTCTTTTGGAAAGGGAAGTTTTTTGCCCAGGTTGATGAGGCACCATTCTCATCTCTTTAAAGTTTACAGGTTGTTCTTTAGTTGAAGTAAAAAAGTATTTTTGAATAATGTTAACAATGATTCATATTTCTATAGCTATTTCTGGCTTATATTTTCTTTGCAACAACCCTGTGAGGGTATTTAGTGCAACTATTATAACTCCGGTTTTATAGGTGAATAAATTGAGGGTGAGAGAAGTTAGGTGATTTACCTAAGGTCACCTAGCAAGGAAATATTAGGTAGGATTTTAACCCAGGCCTTCTCACTCCAGATCTAACACCTTACTCCTCTCTCTCTCTCTCTTTTTTTTTTTTTGGCTAGGCAGTGGGTTAAGGTCACACAGCTATTAAGTGTTATGTGTCCGAGTTCACATTTGAACTCAGGTTCTCCTGAGTCCAGGGCCGGTGCTCTGTCTACTGCGCCACCTAGCTGCCCCCTTACTCTTCTCCTTAAAGACCATTTTGCTGTTCCTCAAACAAGACATTTCATCTCCTGACAGTGGGTATGTTTACTGGCTGCTTTCCCTTGCCTGGAATACTTTCTGTCCTCATTTTGTATTCTGGGTTCCCTCAAATTAAGCTAAGGCCCACCTTCTGCAAGAAACCTTTACTAGTCCTCCTTAATTAATAATGCCCTCCCTCTTAGACTATCTCCAGTTTATCCTATCTATTTAGCTTGTTTGTGCTTATTTGTTTGCGTGTTTTTTCCTCCATTAGACTGTGAGTTGCTTAATAGCAGGGACAGTTTTTTACCTGCCCTAGTATCCTCAGCACTTAGCACAGTGCTTGGCATATAGTGGGCACTTAATAAATCTTTATTGACTAACAAGCTTTTTTACTGGTACTCCATGCTGACTTTCTTTTAAAAAGGCCCTGATGCCCATATCAGCTTTCTGGTAACTTAATTAACAATTTAAACTATGCTTTTATATATTAATGTATGGTTTGATTGATGTGATTGAAGTACTTCATGGGACATGAGAAACTTAGTACTTTAAGACTTCACCCGGTGACATTTCTGAGTAGGACAGTGTTACAGGGGAAAGAGGACTTGTTTGATTCATAGAGAAGGGCAAATATTTTTCTTAGTTGATCCAGATGTGTATAGAATGTACAGAATAAAGCCCCTAGCAAGGACTAGAACTGGTTTTGAGAATATTGCCTTTTTTCTTAAAGTATATATGTGTTTTGAATTGGGATTGCTTACATACTTTGTGAAGAACACTTTGTTCAATTTTAGGGAGACATACACTTAAATAAGACACATTTTTTTGTCTTTGTGGAGCTGCCACCTGAGCATTGCCATTATTTTCTCAATCTCTGTTGAGGGCACCTCCATCCTTTTGTCACCCTGGTTCAAAACCCTAATATCACAATCATGTTTTTCTTCACTCTCATATCTAATTAGCTGCCAAGTCTTTTTGAATCTACCTCCACAATGTTTCTCACATCCACCCTTTTTTTTTTCCATCCAAATGGCTGTCATCATGGTTCAGGCCCTTATCACCTTGAACTTGGCTATTGCAACAGCTTTCCAATTGGATTTCCTATCTTCCAGTCTTTCCTGTTTCCAGCCCCTCTTGTACACAGCTGCCACAATAATCATCCTAAAGCAGACATCTGACCATCTCCCTTACATACTCATGAAACTTTAATGGCATCCTATTGTCTCTAGAATAAAATAAACTACTCAGTTTGGCTTTTAAAACCCTTTATGATGTGGCTCCAGGCAACCTTTCCAGGCTTATTTCATATTATTCCCATTCATGTATTCTACATTCCTAACAAACTAACCCTGATTGTCATTCCTCAAACTCTTGCATTTTCTTGTCTCTGTGCCTGTGATAGCCTGTGGCTATTTTGTATACCTGGAATTCATTCCATCTTCACCTTGGCCTCTTAGAATCCCCAGGTTCCTTCAAGGTTCAGCTCATGTGCCATCTTCTTTGGAAAACTTTTTCTGATCTTCCAGAATTCTTTGTCCTCAGATCATCTCATACTTTTTTTTGTTGTTTACACATCATATTCCTCCCAGGAGTATGTAAGCTCCTTAAGGACAGAAATTATTTTTAATCTTTGTATCTCCACTGCCTAGCACATAGTAGTAGGAGGTACTTAATAAGTGATTTTGGATTGGATTGTTAACCAGCTTGTGACTTTTCTTCAAAGAGGGGTTGAAATATAATAACTAAGAAAATGGTCATACAGTACTTTGTGACATAGAACTGCTGTTTAAATGCAGACCCATAAGAAGGACCAGCTTAGTAAAAGATTGTCTTTAGAACTTGAGTCTTTTTTTGAATAATTGAGAAATGCCTAGCAACTCACAGATGCTAGGATTGGGATTCCATCCCAGCTGCTATTTTACTGTGTGATTGACTTAAAAGTTCTCATGTGATCCTGGCTGTGTTTGGTTCTGGCATGGAGTTGCCTTCTGGTTACTTTCTCCACCGTGTATGAGTGGCCCTTGTGCTAGAAATGCCCGCTAGTGATTTCCCTGGCTGAAGGCCAGGATGTCTGGTGAGCAGAGAGGTAGTGAAACAAATCCACAATAGCAGTCTGGGTATTAGGATCTTGGGACCAACTTAATGCCTGGCAACTGACTTTCAGCACGAAGTTGAGTGTTTCAAGCTCCTCTCTCCACAGCAAACATGGAAGATACTTTGGTTCTTTGGATAACATCTTTAAGTGCAAAATATTATTTTCCACATGCTCATCTGCTTTCAATCAGGTCTCTGACTGGCAGAATAGAACATACTGTGCTTGGGGCCAAGGTTAGCTTTGGTTTGACTTTTGGGCACGTAGTTTGAATTTTAAGGAAAACCCCAGTCTCTACCCCTTGACCTGGCATCTTTGGGATCTCTTGTGAGGAGTGAAGAAAATAGGATTAGAGAAGCAATTGAACTTCTGAGAATTGGATGGATGAAAACTGATGAGGCTTTAGGTTTGGAAATTAATTCACAGCTGGAAGCTGGAGCAGGTAGAGAGGGTCCACACTGTTGGGCACACACTGTTGTTGTTTTTGTTGTTTAAACACCTACCAAACAGTGTTGTTGTGAGGATTAAATGAAGTTATATATATTAAAAAATGTGTGGGTATACATATGTGTGTACATATATTTATATATGCACATGTATACACAAAATACTTTGTTAATATAAAAATGATGTTTAAATATCAGCTATTATTGCTTCTTTCTTGACCCTCTGGGGTTTTTTCCAAGAGCTCTATTCCTACTTTCTCTTAGTCCCATTGGTTTTGGGATTAATGAAATAAATTTTAAAAGACAAAAGGGAAGCTAGAAATGAAGGTTTGCTGCCTCTTTTCTCTTTTCCTGTCCATCCCAATGAGAACAGAAGCTGTTTGTATTAGATTTGTATTATATTGTATGCCACAGAAACTCTTTCCTTGCATGTTCCTAGCATACTTAGAAGTGAAGGTTTCTGCAGAGACTGTATGGTACACTCTTAGGGATGTACAGAACCTGATCAACCTGTTTTAAATGGCACTCCACTACTAGGTCTGCCCTGATCATTTGCGATATGTATTTTTTTATGAACAAGATTTTTTAAATGAGAATATCTTTCCTTCAACATACTCATTGCACTGATTATCACGTGCTCAAGGAAGTATAAGAAAAAAGTATTTGAGAGTAAATGTTGGCTCTAGAAAGTAGTTTCAGTTAAGTTTGTACTTGTCAAAATGACACATTTCCCCACAGATGCTAAAGAAAAGTCCAATGATTTTGTAAAGCACTAATTACTGTTTAAAAGTCCTTGATTGAATTAAATCCTTAGAATGAGATGATGACTGTGGTTCTTCGATAAATGCTTTTCTCTGTGCACCAGACTGTGGGAATTGTGTGGTGAATTTAATGGGCTCCTCTGAGGCCTAAATTCATTTAATGTTCGAACTCTACCTTTGAGCAGGCAGTCACGTGGACAGTCCTTCCAGCTGCAGGAGCTTGCCATGTTGAGCCCTGCGTGGTCTTTGCTGTAGTTTTGTGTGCATAGTTGAGTTATCTCAAGTTTGGCTTTTGTTCCCTGCAATGATAAAAGACCAGCTTTGGTCTGTAGGGTGCAGGCTAATGTCTCTGCAGGCTGCAGGCTTTCAGCTTGTTTAGAATAAAGCATAATTAACATAGGGCACAATATGGTCTTTCAAGAATTACCCTCCTGAAGAGGAGAGAATTGTAGTTCAGACCCTTAGCCCAGGAACAAAAAGAGAGTTTGGAATATTGCCTCCCAGAGTTCCTGTTAGCCTTTCAGCAGTGATTGATTGAATTCCATCTAAAGGATGCATGCATTACATTGAAGCTTCTTGCCATATTTACAGGCATAATGAAAAATAGGTAATTCATGACAGTATTGCTTGTCATCTGTAATTTGAGACATCAGGAAGCAAGGCATACAACTGAGCAGATAGCTCAGTTAGCATTTCTAAAAGGAGCCCTGCAAGTTGATAGCAGGGGAAAGATTTTGGTAGTTAGAGATTTAGGTAGTCCTCTGTTCATTATTTCTTATTCTCATCTGTCAGGCCAGTCCAGAAAGATGAAGCTGACATCAGTCACTTAATCAACAAGCATTATTGAATACTATTTGCTGGGTGTTATGAATACAAAACCTAAAATAAAACAGTTCCTGCCCTCAAGTAGTTCATATTCTAATTGCGGGCAAACAAGTCTATATATAGGTGTCTTCAAAACTATACAAAGCAGAAATAAATTAATCTTGGGGAGGAGGCAGTGTAGCAGCCATGGAGCAGCTATGGACACCAGAATGGTGTCTTGCAGAATGTGGCTCTGCAAGAAGAACTGAGTCTTAAAGGAAACCAGGAAATCCAAAGGGTAGAAGTTGGGAAGGAGAACATTCTAGACAAGAGGGACAGTCAGTGGAAAGGCATAGAAATGAGAGATGGAATGTCGTGTGTGAGGAGCATCAAAAAGACCAGTATGATTGGATCTTAGAATGGGGAGAGGGGAGTAATACCTAATAATAAGGCTAGAAAGGTAAGATGGGACCAGATTGGGAGGGATTTTTAATTTCTTAAGTCTTAAGGATAATAGGAAGCCACTGGGGTTTATTGAGAGTGTATGGGTTGAAGAGTGGTAGTAAGAAGGTCAGAATTGCATCACTTTGGTGTTGCCTGAATTGGTGGATTGGAGTGGAGAGGGATTTGAGACAGGGATACTAGGAGACTATAGCAATGATGCCTATGTGAGTGGATAGAAGGTGCTTTATAGTAGAGATGTCATGGAGATAGAAATGACAAGTTTTAGTAACTTATTGGATATTTTTTGTGAATGAGAAATTGAGGATGATTAGGCTAGGTGACTGGAAGGGACAGTGGTGCCTTGGACAGAAATGTGGGTAGTTCAAAGGGAAAGGTGGGTTTTGGGGTAAAGATAATGAGTTTTGTTTTGAACATGTTCTATGTGAGATGTCTACAGTATATTTTGGAATGTCCAGTAGACAGGTGGAAATCCAGGATTGGGGCCAGAGAAAGAGAGTAGTACTGGATAGTTAAATCTGGGAGTTATCTGATGATAATAATAGATAATTATTAAACACATGGGAGTTGATGAGGTTAACAGGTGAGAGACTGTAGGTAAAAAAGAAAAGAGGGCCCTGGGCAGTGCCTTGGAGTACACCTACAGTTAAGGGTATGATGTGGATAATGATGCCAGCAAAGGATTCTAAGAAGGAAATGATCATCAGGAGAGAGCATTGTCACAGAAACTTAGAGAGGAAGGTGTATTCAGGAGAAGAGGGTGCTCAATAATGTCATATGCTGTGGAGAGGTCAAGAAGGGTAAGAATTAAGAAAAGACCATATTTTGTAGTTAAGGTGATTGGTAATTCTGGAGAGAACAGTTTTAGTTAAGTGGTGAAGTCAGAAACTAGACTTCAAAGAGTTAAGATGAGAGGAAAGGCATCAATTTTAGATAGTCTTCTTAAGTAGTTTTGCTAAGAGAGGAGAGATATATAGGACAATAGGTAGAAGCTAGATTGCAGAAGGTTTAGAAGACAGTGAGAAAATAGGAAGTACAGGCAACCAGTATAGACTACTTTTTCAAGAAATTTGAGAAAGGTACAGAGAAATATAGGATGATAACTTAGTGGGAAGGTAGGATCTCTTGATAGTTTTTTTAAGAATGGGGGAGACTGAGGGCAGCTAGTTGTGGCAGTGGATAGAGCTCCAGCCTTGGAGTCAGGAGGACCTGAGTTCAAATCTAGCCTCAGACACTTGACACTTACTAGCTATGTGACCCCGGGCAAGTCATTTAACCCCAATTGCCTTACACCCTGCCCCTCCCAAAAAAAAGAATGAGGGAGACTGGTAGTGTTTGTAAACAGCAGGGAAGAAATTCTAGATAGAGCAGATTAGAAAGAGGGAGTGATATGGTGGCAGTCTTCTGGAGAAGGGATGAAAACAAGGGAACGTGGAAGCAATGGCCTTCGTGGGGAGAAGTGCCATCTCTTTATCAGAAACTGCAGTAAAGGAAGAAGTTAGAGGATAATGTAAAGAGATTGTGAGATAAAGTACGAAGAGGGAACTCATGTGTTTAGTTGTTTTTCAGTTGTGTCCACCTCTTTCTGACCCCATTTGGAGTTTTTGTGGCAAAGATAATAAAATGATTTGCCATTTTCTTCCTCAGCTCATTTTACAGGTGAGAAAACTAAGGCAAACCCGATTAAGTGACTTACCCAGGGTCACACAGCTAATAAGTGTCTGAGACCAGATTTGAACTTAGGAAGATGAATCTTCCAGACTTCATTCTATCCATTGTTCCACTTAGCTGCTCAAAGAGGGACCTCACAAGGCCTCAGTTTTCTTGGTAAAGTGTAAGGTGAAATCATTAGCTGATAGAGTAGGGGAAGAAGTTGGTCTGGGAGATGAAAGGAAAGAAAAGAAAGTTTGGAATAGCTGCTATGGTGAATAGGATAGTCAATTAGGGTGGAGTAAAAGGATTGCTTTACCGCAGTGAGGACCTAGTTGAGATCAGATAAAATTTTGTAGTAGAGCCCATTGGCTTAATTGTGTATTTTTCTCTGTTTAGTTGCATGAGTAAAAGCAAAGGAAATAAATGAAGGGAAGGTCAGGGTTTGATGAGAAGTCTGGTTCCTCTGGCTGCAAAGTTATGTCCTTTCTTTTGCTTTGTTTAGTTATCCAGTTTTCATTGTCTTTTTTCCCCTCTGTGTCTTGCAGGTTGGGTGGACCGGATCCCTTGGACTACGTTAGCATGTACAGGAACTTGGGAAGTCCAGGTGCAAATGTCCCTGAACACTGGCACTACGTTAGCTTTGGACTGAGTGATTTATATGGCGACAACAGAGTCCACGAGTGAGTATGTGCCCACCTACCCATTAACTTCTTTCTTAGCCTTTGGCTTAAACTTGTGTCCTGTTTTCTGAGGCTTAGCTTAGCCAAAGCAGCAGTGACATTGTCTTGTAGAATTAACACCTGTGAAGCTTTGTTGAAGTGGCATGAAGTTGGGCTACAAGCATTTTCTTTGTGGACCTTTTGTGTCTGTGCTGTGGTACCAGGGATCTCATGAGTTTTTTGAATAGATGCTATGTGCTGGATGACTACAAAGTGTTTGTTCTCTGCCAAGATCACAGTTTAGAACTACTTACCTATTTGCTTCTCAGTCAGTATACATTTATCAAGCATCTGCATTGTTCTCAGTACTGTGTTAAGTGCTGGGGGATACAAATACAAAAAGGAAAGATAGTCCTTGTCCTCAAGAAGCTTACAATCTAATGGGGGAAGACAATACATGAAAAGAAGCTGGGGAGAAAGAGAAAGTACCCATGTACCTGGCACAGGGCAGGGGAAGGGGAGTAAATGGACATGGTGGAGAAGTCCAGAGAAGTGTAGCCAGATAGAAAATGAAGAGATGGCTGGCTTGGGTGCCCTCCTTACATAGAGGCTCTGGGAGGAGCTCTTCTCCCTTCCCTCCAGTAAAGGGCACCAGGGGTAGAAAGTACTGATGAGAGGTGTAAGTTATTAGGGCTGATGTGAACTCCAAGGAGATGAGGCTCTTGGGGACATGAAGGAGAAGTCCAAAAGAGTACAGCCACATGAGAAATGAAAAGAACAGAGGGATAATGATGAGCAGTAGGATAGAAACCTTTGGATGAAAGTTGTAGACTGGATTGGGGATTGAGAAGAAATATATTGTGGAGGTGAAATCAGTAAGTCTTTGTGCAGTTGATTGGATATGAGAATTGAGAGATGGGATCTAGGAATGGAATGGAAAAATAATTTATGAAGCTCTTATAATGGGCTAAGCTCTCTGCTAAGCTCTGGAAAAACACATAGAAAATTAAGACAGCCTTTGGACTTAGAGTTCACATTCTGATTGAAGGGATAATACATAAAGAAAAGTTCAACTGCATGGTTGATTGGAAGGCACCCAGTAAGTTAGAGATGAAACTTATGGAGCTTTAGACAAGGTAGATGGCAAGGTCCAGAGTCTTTAGGTTGCACTGTTAGGAAGGGGAAATCATGTTGGGATCTGGGTATTTAGGGGTCGAAGTTAGGGGCCATTAGGGGAGGGATGGTTCTAATGTCAGGGCCCAATGGATGATCTCCAGGTGGGCTCAGAGAGGGTTGGGATGGTTGAGGAAAGGATCCTCAACCTTCTAATGGGCTCCATTCTCCAGGGCTCACAGGTGTCTGATACTTGTGGAGAGAGAAGAGTCAAAGCTGAGTCTAAGATTTCAAACTTGAGTGACTAGAGGAATAGAAATGCCCTAATTCAAAATAGGAAAATTTGGAGGAAGATTTAGGAGGGAAGATAGTGAGTTTTGTTTTGGATATGTTGAGTTTGGGATGCTGATATTCCAGCAGAGATGGCTAGAAAAGGAGTTGGCAATGTGAGATGAGAGAGAGAAGAGATGAGAAGACACTTCTCTGTGTCTCAATTTGTTCATCTGTAGCAAGGGGATGATAATAGCACCTAACTCGTAGGGTTGTGAGGATCAAATGAGATGATATATAAAATGCTTTGCAAACCTTCAAGTGATGTATAAGTGTTAGCTAGTATTACTTGATCTTGGTCTTTATCCTAATCTCTACTGCATAGTGGTAACCTGAGGGAAAGAGAAAGTTGAAATGGATCTAGTCTTATTGTCTTGGTTGCTGCTACTTTGATGGTTTCATCAGGAATGCTTGGAAATCCTTTATTTCATTAAATATCTAGTTTTTTCCCCTGTAGGAGTATATTTAGTTTCAGTGGGTAGGGTTTTTTTGGTTGTAAGCCTAGCTCTGTTGCTTTCTTGAATATCATATTCCAAGCCCTCTGCTTCTTTTTAGTGGTAGCTGTTAAGTCTTGTGTGATCCTGACTGGCTGCATGGTATTTGAATTGTTTCTTTCTGGCTGCTTGAAGTATTTTCTCCATGACCCAGGAGTTCTGGAATTTGGCTATAATATTCCTGGTAGTTTTTATTTTGGGATCTCTTTCAGGTGATGAGTGGATTTTTTCAATTTCTATTTTGCCTTCTGGTTCTAAGATATCTGGATAGTTTTCCTTTATAATTTCCTGAAATATGATGTCTCGGCCTTTTTTTTTTTTTTTAAATTAAAAAAAATTTTTAATCATGGCTTTCAGTTAGTTTAATAATTCTTAAATTATCTCTCCTTGATCTCTTTTTCAGGTCACTTGTTTTTTCAATGAGATATTTCACATTTTCTTCTGTTTTTTTTTTTTTTTTCATTCTTTTGACTTTATTCGTGTGTGTGTGTGTGTGTGTGTGTGTGTGTGTGTGTGTGTGTGT